TCTGTTGGTCCTCAACACTCAAAAGCACTTTTACTTCCCTTTTCGTGACCCGGTGGCATCATCTCGGCCGTATTTTGAACGATTCTGCGCCGAGCGTTTAAGCGCGAAGACGCGCGGAGTTGCGCTATCTCCGGGACCCCATACGATTGCAAATTATCCAGCTGTTACTCAGCGCTGACCGAGCACGAATCCTGTCGTTATGCCAGTCGGCTGTTTGTCGTTGCTCCGAAGTAAACCCATACGTGCTGCATACGGGAATCCTATAAATCGTCGGCGTAAAATAGCCGGTGCAAGCAGCTAGTATATATTACGAGCGTCTTGCGAGGCTGATGTTTACAAGTGGTTAGATCGTGATAAAATAGGCAACGGTTTATGTACTGAACACGAGTTCCTATACGAGTGGGTGTTCGCACGCTAAGCCCTCCGTCCGTGAGCTGCCCTTCTCAGATCTTGCTCTCGCTAATCTGTGATCAGTAGTGTGTCTCCACATGGCAACACTGTCAGCTTCGGGGCCGCGTAGGCTTTGGCCACCCTGCATGTCAGCCTCGCAAGCCTCCACGTTGCTTCCATGTAAGCTTTTGGGCCGCAAACTTTTGCCTTTCGGCGAAAACATACCGTGCAACGGTCATCCACGTACACACGTGTACATGAGTTTTAGCGTTGATCTTATCTGGATCTTGGTATTCGTTCTAGTCTTATCAACTCTGCCAAACAGTCTTGGATGTAGAGCGCCTTTTCGTGGACTACTTCGCAGCCTCGAGTGACTCTGCAATATGCTTTCGTTCATTAGGATTACCTTACTGTCCATACAATTTCAATCAGTTCCTTCTCCTCTATCTAGGTAGTCTCATTACCACCTCTCTGAATCTGGAACGACCCAAATGAAACTCTTGTCTCCCCCAAACTGCACATAGATATTGCTTAACTTCAATCTTTTGGAGCAACCCTTTGACGCCCACAAACTTGTTGTCAAGTAGTAGCACTCGTCGAAACATGGAGCTTCACGCATTCAAATGCAGCGAACCACCAAAACATCCAAAACCTACACATAACAGGACCTCAGCCCTCAAAAACGCGCAATATTAAGATCGCAAGAGTTGAAGACGTATGTACAGTGGTTTGTTGGCTTCTATGGGATTTACGGGTCGTTCCGGCTTTTGCGGCTTCTGCGCATTTTGCGGGTTTTGACCTAGGCACGATATAAACCACGAGAATAGAAGCACTCCAAGCAGAACCACTATCATTTACGATTCCATGTATCTCAAAAACACCCAATTACATTCATCTTCCTCTGCTAGCAAGCCCAACTCTTGACCTTTTCTTCTGGCGGCATGGCCCCATTAAGCGAAGTGATAAAGATGCTCGTAGGCCAAGCATTTGGTAGGACCTGGGTTCCGGAAATCAATCTGAAGGGGAAAACAATCGTTGTGACAGGTGCGAATACCGGCCTTGGTCTGGAATGTGCGAAGCACTTGTACGTGGGTTCCCGCATCAAAAAACCATGGTGACTGACTTCAAGGTCTGTAGAGCTCGCAAGAACGCAGCTACCATCATTCTCGCTTGCCGCGACACGAAGAAAGGCCAAGCTGCCGTAGAAACGATCTATCGAGATACCTCTTGCACAGGCCACACCAATATCGAAGTCTGGGAACTAGACCTTGCCAGTTACCAATCTGTACTAGCTTTTGGTGAGCGAGTTCGCACTCAACTCCCCCGTCTCGATGCGTTCATAGCGAATGCTGGCATGGAATTGCAAGAGTTCAGGAAGGCAGAAGATCTCGAGATACACTTGACCGTCAACGTTGTATCAACCTTCCTCGGCGCCATTGCCGTCCTTCCCAAGCTCCAGGAAACAGCCAAGACGCATGATGTGCAGACTTCATTGACATTCTGTGGCTCAATGTATCATATCTTTGGCTCGGATGATGAATTTGACGCTGGCTTACCGGATGACAAAGACATGTTCGAAGAGCTCAGCGACCCTGTGAGGACGGACATCATCTGGCGCTATGCCTTGAGCAAGCTAATGGACCACCTTTGCTTCCATGAACTCATCAAAACGCTCTCGGAAAGTGCGACAGACTATTCCCAGGTGGTAGTGAACCTCATCAACCCAGGGTGGTGTGGCACTGAGCTGTCGCGCGCCAAACCACATCCCTTTGGAGAGCGAGTAGCTTTTGCGTTGATGGGCTGGACTGCTGAGAAAGGGAGTCGCGCCTATGTCCATGCAATAGTGGCGGGCAAGGAAAGTCATGGAAAGTACCTATCGGAGTGTCAAGTCAAGCAAGAGTCGCAGTTTGTACGGAGTGAAAGAGGTCGACACATTCAAGAGAAGGTATGGAAAGACTTGGTGAGCAGATTTGGCAAGATTTCTCCCGAGATTATGAGCTTCATTTGCTAGTATGGGTTTATATTTTATGAGCGTGTATCGCAGCGGAGACATGTAATTAAGGTGGCGAGAAGTTGATGTCTCGGACGAAGTTATCCCACGCCAGCCACGGTATCTCGTTTCCGTCTTCGTTATCGTTGTATTGAGGTCTGACATGATCTTCCAGACCTAAGAAAGGCACATTCAAATCATCTTCGTTCATACCCCAGTTTGAGAGATCAAACAAGTCATTGTTGGAGGTAGAAGAGCAGGTCTGCTCTGTCACAATCGGTACAGTAAAAACCGTCTCTGTTCCGATCGCGAGATTCTTGTTCCCAGCAGTATCTGGAGTCTGTCTCAATCTCTGTACCCGTCGCATTAGCTTCGCGATGGGCTTCCACAGCAGTCCAGACTCTGAATCCGCTACTAGTCGCGCATAATGCCGGAAACTTTGTTTTGCGATAATGTATGATCGGTCAGATGACGGTTCTTGAGGTCGTACCATCAGTTCCGCAAGCAAGACCGCAAGTGCATGCCATTGCACCCAGTTCTTCCAAGCCCAAGGCTGGAGCTCGACCGGAATAGGCTGGAGGTGCTGCTCGAGGACCTCGGTCGCGGATTTCATGATATCGAAGTCATCCCACGGAGGGACAATATTGTGTGGTTGTCTATAGGGTGGTCTTCGAGCCAGGAGTTGCATACTGACGATAATCTTTTGAGCTGACATTCTTCGGAGCATCTCCAGCGGGCTATCATAGCTATGAATATTGGTTCTTTCGCTCAGGATAGACGTCTTAAATTCGTTTAGCAGCTCGACCTTCTTAGTCCACTGTTCCCATCCATTTTGGACGCCATCTGAGATCTCGTACAATCTCCGTTGACATATCATTGCTTCATAGATCATGGCAGTATGCGACATGTCGGTAGGATACTGCAGGGAGGGTTGAATTGCCTTGTCTGTTGGGTGCATATCATCATCGTTGATGTTTAGTGGAGGTGCTCGGAAGGAGGTAGAAGGCAGGATAGGGATCGTACCGCGATCTAAGGCCGAATGGGTATCAAGGATCCCGATCGCAAAGAATAAGCGCTGACGTAATTGGAGATCGAATGGCGAAAAGTCTTTTGGGTCTTCCTCTCCAAGTCTCAACAGTGTAGCAGCACGCACGGCAACCGCAACAAGCGTCCATGTGTAGGCGCCGCTACAGCATGTTCTTAATCCTACCTAAGCCCTCTCATCAGCGTTCACGTATGTATCAGAAGCAGAACTTCGCGGAGATTGACGCACAAGATACACTACGAAAGTTTGTAGTGTAAAGACGTCTGGGCTTTGTAGTAGGTTCGATCGGACAAGCAATTCCTCTACAGCAGAGCGATAGTGTTGAAGCATATCTGATCTTACGCCCAAGCCCATCTCTTTTGCTTCAATATCGGTGATAGTACATAGTGACATGAAATATATAGCGAACTCCAACATACGCGCGGAGAAAGGAGGCGAGACATCCTGAGGCTGCGTATGACTTGCTCTGATGACTGATAACACCGTTGGCCAGTGAGTCATCTTATATACACTGTCTACTCGATAATGGTATAGATGAAGCAGTGTTTCTCGTACGTCCGGCGGGGGATCATCATAGGGATTGGCATAGCTCTTTGACCATTGAGGAAATAGTATCGCGTTTGTCGAGCATGTGTCTCCGGCAGCCTTGGCTGTGAGCTCAACGTCATGTGTATTTGCTTCATCTTCAGCGTCATCCTCTAATGCCTCTCGCAACCCGTGAACTTCGCTGGAGAGGGCACTCCAGAAATCCGGCGCTACGAAGTCAGCGATCTTCTCACTAGTTACACCCACAAGCCCATCGTTTCTCAAATTGCCAGTAACTGGAGCTTGATCTGATGTGGTACCCTGAATTGCTGTTTGCTTGGACTGCTGCTCCAGGAGGATCTCTATTCGTGCGACGCGTGCCGCAAGGTCCCTATTCGAAGCCGATCCCTTTGCCGTCTTGCCACGGGGTAGACGCGCCCGTTGCACAGCATGGCAACTGAGGCCTGAGTTCCGGCAAGCTGAACATGGAGCGCCTTTGTCGCATTTGATCTTTCGTGACTTGCACTGCTGACACGCTAGACGCGGAGGTGGGTTCATGCTCTCGCCCTGACGCTGGACGAATCGGTATAGACAACACGCGCGAATGCACACTAACGACTAGTTGAGTCAGTATTTTTCACGAACTCATCATCGGGTGTGAGTATGTTACGTGTGTTAATGTTGAAGAGTCAAGTGTGCTGGAGCGGACGTTACTTCCCATACCGTTATCGCCAGTTCCACAGGGGTCACAGAGGTGCGCCAGCCATCGCGCCTTGCCGTATTCGGCATAGAGCAAACATGGGATCTCGAACACACCTTCTCCATTTCCATTATAGCTGGAGCCCTTCACTTTACGGATTGCATTCGTCCAAGACGCTCGGAGACTACACGGATAGACGAGTCCAAATACTGAGCTTGCTGCCTGTCTTGCATCTCATATAACGCTAGCCATCCGGGCTACCCCATAGTACGCCTTCGCCTTCCGCCCTGGCCCACCCGTGGATGGGCCTCAAGCGCGCCGACTGCTAATCCGCTCCAAAATCGAGTACGATGGTAATCTCCCCTGAATATCCCGGCTTAGAAGTCAAAGTCTGTGTTGTTGGTCAGCAGTTGCATGAGTACGACGACGAAGATGCTACACTAAAGACAATCACCAAGTACATAGAAGCACGCTCAGACTGCAAGTTCGTGGTCACTGCTATCTTCCGGCCGCCGTTTTCGACTCGCTACCATGTCAGAGCGCAACTTTCGATTGACGGAGTCTCCGTAGCTAAAACATTTTGCGAACGAGAGAAGCTCCTCCAAAAACAAATCGAGATGAGTGGCCATCGGTCGCAACGAAATGGAGAATGGGTCAAACAAGACTTCTGCTTCGCCAAACTGAACATTGGCAAGTACCAGAAATGGTATGTTTCCGCTCGCTAACAGGATGCGCAGTCGAGGAGGCGCATGGGCCTGTCCCTAGTGCTGCTGTTTTGAAGCAGACTCTCAGTACTAAAGGACGTATCACCATAGCCTTTCAATTCATCGAAAGCTACCAAGATTTGGGACTAGATCCCCGACCACCCAGCAACAGACGCCATGAACTTGAAGCGCTGAAGGAAATCCCGGAGAAAGCACTCAAGGGTGACGCATTATCACATCAAGCAGTGTAAGTAAACGATGGGTGAAGCGCTACATAGGCAAAGGGCTAAATTTCCAAAGTTTGTCAGCGCCTCGAACATGCCATGCAGGATCCTTCTCATTTCCCGGAAGACACTATAAGTTCGTAGACCAGGAGCCTTCCGCGACTTTCCACTTCAAATATCGGTCACTTGGTGAGTCCTAATCACGTTCACACCACGGCACTTACTAACATCAATAACCTTTGAGCGAGCCTCAAAACACTTCGAATTCTCAAAATCACCGAGCCCACTTCTGTTCCTCTGGAAGACAGGCCCGAGGAGGACCTTACCCCAGCGGAGCTGAGAGAGCTACTGCGTCGCGTGCGACAAGTATGTATGCGCTGCAACTTGCTGACACCAGTACTAAAACACGAATAGCGAGAAGGAGAGAGCGAATCTATCAAGCAGGAAGTTAGTACTACTGCTAGAGTCAAGCGCGAAAGGACCATTGACGACAAGGATGATGTAATCTATGTTGAGACGCGACAAAGCAAACGTCCACGTATGGATCAGACCGTCATCATGATAGACTGAGAGCGAAACCTGTACCCGTCTTCACAATGGTGAGACCGAGGAAAGCATCGAAATATTAAAAGACGGCCCTATTCTGAACTTGCCACGAGGTGGAAGGATGTTGTTGCATTGTTGGCACGAGAATACGCGGGCTCTGGCATGATTGATGGACGCTGCCGTATACTGCCAAGGCAGTCCACATTGAGTTACTCTAATATTCGTATGTATGTACATGTGGTCGATCATACTAAAACATGTCTTTCGCGACAAAGAGGTCATGGTTGTGAGGCCTAGAGATCGAAAGTGTCGCCGAAGCGTGGACGACGATGTCACGCAGCTGGATCGAGGACATGCATCAACAATACGGGAGCTTGTGCTGGGCGATTGTATCCTCGACAGTTGTTGTACTTAGAGTTAAAGCTCGGAAAATAATCGACGGATTCCATCGACACAGTCGGGGGTAGGAGAGCGCACGATCCGGATAGATTTGTGTTTGACGAATGTCATTTTAGAACGTGGCGAACCTTCGCCCACTCACCTCAATTCGAGTAGCCCCGCTTTAGCCTTTGCTTCGCGCTTGCTGTAAGTGTACATTGACCTCTCACCTTCCCTCTCGCCTTCACTGTCACCTCTCTGCTTGCCCCACTTGATGCCACATCTGTGCTCGGTCAGATATCCTGCTACCTTTGCAACCTCTCACTGCCGAAGCGTTTTACCACGCCGAGAGTGAGCAGCCCACAGTATCACTATGGCGATTCATAGCGACTATCCCGGTTTGACGGTACAGATCATATGTGGTGGCAAGCCTATTGAGGAACACGTGAATGAAGAAGACGAGGAGCGGGATGAGCCTAAGACTACGACACGATACGTCGAGTGCCAATCAAATACGGAGTTCGCAATTAAGACTACCTTCAGGCCACCCTTTGCTCCGCTGGATTTGGCAATACACGTTCATCTAGATGGGATCAAAGTGAACGGACTGATAGTACACAAGCACCAGATGCTAAATGAAACCTACGTTAAGTCAGCGACCAAGTGGAAAGAAGGCCAGAAATGGCGGGCGTCTAAATTTGTCTTCTCAGACCTCAACGTGGGTAAGTAACTCTTAGTTAAAGTTACTAAACGCCATAATACGATGCTGACACATCTCCAGTACAAGAAGATAGTGAGACATTAGCGGAAAAAAATATGGATGCACTGAGTCAAGTGGGCACAATCTCTGTTGTGATTACCCCAATTCTGAGCATGCTGAAAGAACGAAGACCAAAAGGCCGGAAGTGAGAACTGAAAGAGTTTGGAATGATCTCCGAAGAAACTGTTAAAGGTGATGTGCGTTCCCATGTAATAGGGTACGTTCATATCCAAGATTTCATTCAACGAAATGCTAAAGAGACGTGAGGCTTGCACCAGCTCTAGCCATAAAAGCGCCCAATAAGTACAGTACTAAAGAAGCTAAAGAGCCTTTGGTAACGTTTCGATTCAAATATCGTTCGATCGGTAAGTCATCACATTTCACTAGCTAGATTTGAGACTCACATCGCAGCAGCCGCACTCAAATCTCTCGGCATCGTTTCTCGCTCACTAAGCCCCTCTCAAGATACACAACCGGAGTCAATCACGAAGGGAAATACAACCAAATTATCTCCAGATTGTTGCCACCGCGATACTTCATCTATCGTCACTTCCCAGGCAGAGACTGCCAGTATCACGCCAGGTCTACTCCAACAAAGCCCCACTCCCATCAATCAACGCATGCAGTCCGGTCTTACGAAGAAAGACATACTGGTCTTGATCAAGCATTATCGCGGCAGTAGTGCTGGTCTAGAGGGTCTTCCAGAGAAGGATCTCGCCATCTTGTTCAGCTCTTACCGGGTAAGTGCTAAAAGAGGCAATTTTACACTGATACTAATACAACCTAGGGTGATAAGCCAAATGAAACCCCCATAAATCAAGAACCTGTCCTCTCTGAAAGCAGAGCACGCATCAAGCGTGAGCTTGTTGGGGACAGCGTTGCCCGTGGACAAGGAAAGAAGCGCAAGGTGGAAATCATAGTTTTGGATGACTGAGCCATATGGATGTCCAACGGAGAAGCCTCCGCTAGGATGTAATCCTTACACTTATGCGAAGATAGAACATTTCGAGAGTTTGATGTCTCATGGTATCCAGTCGCTGAATAAGAGTTGCCTTTGGGTTTGAAGTCGGGAAAAAATACGGACAAATGTCGAAAAGCAGTCAAGGGGAGATTGTAGTAAGCTTCCTCCAAACGGAACATGAAGCGTCCTGTAAGAATGCAAATCACCACAAACGACATGTATCTATTCCTAAGTTGATCTGGTCTTCATGTTACCTTTTCCAACTCTGCAATCTACCAACGGGCAGCCGTCGCAGTAGGAGTAGCATATGTTTCGCTCCAACTCGCGGTGTACTTTGAGCTCCCCACGATCGTCTGACTCTTGACATCGGCAAACGTCGCGCTCGTAACCACGCTATCAGTTCCGATCCATGTGCTCCATGCAGTCGCCGTTGTAACGCCCGTCACGGGTCCGACAGAAACTGCAGTGGTCTCAGGCCAAGCACCAGACCATACAGTAGGTCCAGGGATGACGTAGTCGGTAACGCAGGGAGTGGTGGAGGTTTTTGGCTTCTTCGTCTCAGTAGAGCAGTATACCTGTACCTATTAGCGAACAAACTCAACGTCAGAGCTTGGATAGACGGGGCCTCACGTTGTGTACGACACCAGGATCCTCGTAAGAGTACGCTCCTGGAAAGCTTACACCCTCGGGTAACTCAACCTCGCCATCGCCTTCGACCAGTATCTGAACGCAGTCGGGATAGAACTGTGCGCCTCTCTTTGGGTTTTGCACGTAGCTCACGTCACCCTCATGTAATCCGACCATCTCAGCGCGGATGATATAATGGCCGGCCTTCAGACCTTCAGGCACCCGGACATTCATATGACCAAAGTGCTTCGCAATGTCGCTTGTAGTACTCCACTTGCCAGCTTGTGGAAAGGGATTGCTTTCGTATTTTCCGGAGTGCCAAAGCTTGACGAATGAGTTCTCTGTAGGTGGATCAGGCGAGATATAAATTAGTGAAGGGCCGTGATGTGAGTTGGCGATCACATCGTCGGTGTCGTTGCGTATCTCGTGGTGCCAGTCGAACGTAAGGTTATCTCCAGGCTGAACTTTGATAGTGTCGTGGGCTTGAATATCACCCATGACGTTGCATCGCATGTCAATGGAGTCGAGATCCTTGACAGGCGAATTGTTGTAGCCGCCCTTGCCATTCTGGCCATTGTACGCAGGAATTCGGACGCCCTTGAATGTACCCTGATCTACGCCGTTGACGAAAACACCCTGAAGGAATTAGTAATGCGGCCTGATAAGCTTAGTTCGGAATGAACATACCCAAATGAAGGTATGAGCACACGCCTGGCCTGTAAGGAGCGAGAGGAGAAGAGCAGAAATGCGAGCCATGATACCTGATTCTAGCAATGACTAGACCTAAAAAGCACAGAACACGATGTGTGAAGAACACTACGGACATGGCGAACACATATATATCGAAGTGTCCGACGCTTCATACAGCACGTCGGCAGGTGATGAGGCTAGTGTATTGCAATGCAATATACCCGATCGGCCCCAGATTGTTAATCTATCATGACTTCGGGAACGTCCAAACACAGCTGCAGATCTGGAGATTCCAGCGGGAACATCGGACGTGTCTCCGACAGTGTGTTAGTGAAACTGTGGACCGCATTCGACGGTCGGGGTTGACAGATGTGTTGTTATATGGACTACACGAAGCCCAATTACTTCACTACCATCGGCCGCTTCTAGCAGACTCAATATGGGGACGTTCGCCTATGTAACAAATTGCTTGAACGCGAACGCGATGGCATGAATGCTTGCTACTGCCAAACGGTATAGCCTGATCGCAAAGGACCGTTGTCACCAGGTAACAGTACTTGGACATGTCTCGGTGCGGACTGGGTGATAGTAAGCATGCTATGCAGAGAAGAGACGAGTTCTCATCTCAATTGCGATGTGATTGATCACCTCAAGGCTACAGTCGACAGAAATGTATGTTACTTTCAGCGACTATGGTTATCCATGGGTTATGTAGATGTTGATAAACACATTGCGTAGATGATACGCACTACAGAACAATCGCCTGGAGCCTCTCCCCTAACGAAAGACTCATAGTACTCTTTCAACGCAACGTTGCACATTGATGGATGTGACCTCTGCTGATTCCCAACCTATCAGTATACTCAGAATGAGTTTTCCAGATCGGGCGCCCAGCCATGGGTCTAAATCTCTTCTACGCGCAGCGCGAAAACAGGTTCATTCATTGAAGAAATGGGAACCTGCCGTTAAGTAGTGTTTGGTTGCTGGCGGTGATGAAGAGAAGAAGAGGGAGAGCGAGGAAAATCGCGGTTTTGAGGCTGGCGCAGAGCGGAGCTTCGGTGGCGCTAAGCCCGATCGAGAGCGCTAGGGCAAGAACATCTGGCCGCATCGCCAACTGTGGTATCCACGCATGTTCAAGAGTGTGAGCTCTTAAGACGTTGCAATATCGTGCACTTGTTGCCTTGAGGGAGGGACAGCTGACACGTTTCGATTCATTGCTGTATACAATTACAGCTCCACACCCGCGACTGCCACATTTCACACCGCCCCGCCAAATCAATCTCCCATCGTGGGCGCCCTCGGTCCCTCCACCACCAACTCTCTACAGCCCTCCACCACCACCCCAATACCTTCTCGAGTAGCGCGAATAGCCGCAGCCGCCCATCATGGCCGACTTTGAGACGCTCAAGGATCAGTGGAGCGATATCGAGGACAGGGATGGCGTCCGTCTCAGTTGGAACACGTTCCCCAGCTCGCGCATGGTACGATAGAGAGCCGGTTGTCACCATGGACTCGAGATACTGATTCGCCACACAGGAAGCTTCTCGTCTCGTCGTCCCCATCGGTGCCCTTTACACACCTCTGAAAGAGAAGACGGATACTCCGCTACTCCAGTATGCGCCTGTCGCGTGCAGAGCGCCATGCAAGGCCGTCCTCAACCCCTACTGGTATGTCTTGAACAGTCTCTGGTAGCTGTGCTCAAGCTGACAGTAACGTAGCCAAATTGACATGCGCGCACGCATCTGGATATGCCCCTTCTGCTTGAACCGCAACAATCTTCCCCCGCACTACAAGGACATCTCAGAGCAACAGATACCGCCCGAGCTGCATGCTGGCAGCACCACGATCGAATACCGACTCCCCCAGCCCGTATTGACCCCGCCCATCTTCATTTTCGTTGTAGACACATGCCAGGAGGAGGACAGCCTGAAGGCGCTCAAGGACTCAATCATCATGAGCTTGAGCCTGCTCCCCGCATACGCCCTCGTCGGTCTCATCACATATGGAACAATGGTAGGTATAGGAAGATGACATTGGATGTTCTGTACTGACAGTTGTAGACCCAAGTACACGAGCTGGGCTACACCGAATGCGCCAAGTCGTATGTTTTCCGCGGAAGCAAGGACTATTCCTCCAAGCAAGTCCACGAGATGCTCGGACTTACTCAGATGGCTCCCCGACCTGGTGTCCCCCAGCAGCCTGGCCGACCACCTGTGCCACCCCAGGGTGGTGCTGGTACGCGCTTCATCCTACCCGTGTCGCAATGCGAATTACAATTGACCAACGCTCTCGAATCGATTCAACGGGATCCTTGGCCTGTCGCGAACGACAAGCGTCCTCTGAGGTGCACCGGTGTGGCACTTAGCGTTGCTGCTGGACTCTTGGAGACAAACTTCTTGAACACTGGCGCCCGTATCATGCTGTTCAGTGGTGGCCCAGCCACCGAGGGCCCTGGTATGGTCGTTGGACCCGAGCTGCGCGAGCCCATCCGATCGCACCACGACATCGATCGCGACAACATCAAATACTACAAGAAGGCGCTGAAGTTTTACGAGGGACTTGCGAAGCGCGTTTCCCACAACGGCCACATTGTAGACATTTTCGCTGGATGTCTGGACCAGGTTGGTCTGCTTGAAATGAGGGGCCTTGCGAACACCACCGGTGGACATATGATTCTGACCGACAGCTTCACGTCGTCCATGTACAAGCAATCCTTTGCGCGAGTGTTCAACAAGGATGCCGATGACAATCTCCTGATGGGCTTTGGCGCCAATTTTGAGGTGTTGACAACAAAGGAGTTGAAGATCACTGGTCTTATTGGACACGCTGTGTCGCTGAACAAGAAGTCTGTCTCCGTTGGTGAGACTGAGTGTGGTATCGGAAATACATGCGCATGGAAGATGTGCGGTATCGATCCTGAGTCCTCTTACGGTATCTACTTCGAGATTGCTAGTCAAGGTGGACCAAACCAGATGCAGGCTGGACAGCAGCAGGCTCTGATTCAGTTCCTCACATACTACCAGCACTCCGCTGGCCAGTACCATCTGAGAGTGACCACTGTCGCCCGGCCTCTGAGTGGTCCTTCCGGTGACCCTGCCATCGCTCAGTCCTTCGACCAAGAAGCTGCTGCCGTCCTCATGTCGAGGATAGCAGTCTTCAAGGCTGAGGTTGACGATGGTCCAGATGTCCTTCGATGGGTTGACCGCATGCTTATCCGATTATGCGCTCGCTTCGCTGAGTACAGGAAAGACGACCCGTCGTCATTCAGGTAAGCATACCTGTATTCCGAGAAGTGGAGTCCTTACTTCTGCTCTTCTGTGTTCATTTGCTTCAATATCGAATACTAACTATTGAACTAGGCTCGAGAAGAACTTCACACTATACCCGCAATTCATGTTCCATCTTCGTCGGTCACAGTTCTTGCAAGTCTTCAACAACTCGCCTGACGAGACCGCTTTCTACCGTCATGTCTTGAACCACGAGGACGTTAGCAACTCCCTGATCATGATTCAGCCAACACTAGACAGCTACGGCTTCGATCACGAAGGCGGCCAGCCCGTGCTGCTCGACTCCAGTTCGATCCAGTCTGAGACTGTCTTGCTGCTTGACACCTTCTTCCACATTCTCATCTTCCACGGCGAAACAATGGCCGAGTGGCGGAAAGCTGGCTACCAAGAGCAAGAGGGTTACGAGAACTTCCGAGAGCTTCTGGAGGCACCGAAGGAGGATGCCAAGGAGCTCATCCAGGACCGATTCCCATTGCCTCGATTCATCGTCTGTGACGCCGGCGGTTCGCAGGCGCGTTTCTTGCTCAGCAAGCTCAATCCCTCGACAACGCACACAACCGGCAGCTACGGAGGCGTTGCGCAAACAGCTCAGACCATTTTCACCGACGATGTCAGTCTGCAGACCTTCATGGACCATCTGATGAAGCTCGCCGTTTCAGGCACAGGCTAGTACGTACCGCCTTGTGAAAGTAATTGTCATCAATCGCGTAGCGGCGGGGCAAAAGAGGAATTGTATGTGTGGTCTTTGTGTTACATCATTAGCGAGAAATGAAATCCTTGAATGTCCAAATACCTTCCACCCCGACTTGTAACTATGATATGCAAATTTGCTCAAAACAGTAGTTCCTGAACATCAAGCTTAATTTCGAGTATAATGTATTATCATAGCCCTTGCTCGTCTTTCACGAAATATCTCTGTTCCCGTCTACAGCTTACTAAGATCAAAGTCCTTAGCTTCACTACCACTGACATGCTCTTCTGCGAGCATCTTTCCTGTACTCGGAATCTGAAACGGCTCTGCAGGCTGCACAAAAGCAATGAACCTACAAGGCTCAGTCTCAGATGGGTTATGCCATTTATGCATAGTACCGCGCTGGATAATATGATCCTAACTCAATCTATCAGCACTGCGTTCGTAACAGCAAAATTCCACGTTCTTCAACTATCTGCAAAGAAAACGCGAGCATGAAGACACAGAGAAGCAAACAATACGTACCCCGGGGTTCAAATTCACCATCTCTCCTGTGGCAGTCTCCAATTTTACCTTTCCATGCGTGCAGACTACGTAGTCGATGGATACAGTTTGGTGCATCTGACTGGCTTGTCCGGGGCCAAGTTCGCAGACAATGAGGTGGGAACCCGATCCATTAGATACGATAGAGCGGCCGGTGTAACTGACGTCTCCTTCTTTGGATGTGTATGCCTCGATATCCTTGTCGCCCTCAAGAGTGGCTGGGGTGGAAGACGTGGCATCTAGTCATAAAGCCTTGCATTAACAGCTGATCTTGTATTTGCTATGGTGGGAAACAAGACGAAGCGTTGAGACTCACATGATCGAGCTGTTCCACCGACACCTGGGTAGCCGTAGAATTGTAGCGCCGGGCTTGAGTGAATAGTGCTTTTGCCCTGCTCGTTGTGCGTGACGATGTAGCGTTTGGCTGGAGGTAGTGATGTGATGGACTCGTACATCTCCGATGAAGCAAGGCGTGCGTCGTTCTCCGCCATTATGAAGTGGTTTCGAAAACAGATGGAAGAAGCTGGATGCGATGAGGGGTAAGTAGCGAGAATTCCTTGACGAGGTATCTGATGTTAGCAATGCAGAAGCGATGGTGATGTTCGTGTCATATGTACTTTTCTCTTATAGAGCAACGCTTCCAGTACCTACTCAGAAGCGACTACAGCTGGTCGTAGACTTTCTGTCTGCAGGGCGAGATCTGATGTAAGCGCGGGATGTTGTTGCGCTCCTTCTGCATGAGGTTTAGATGTGGACCAAAGATAAGGCTGAAGTATCCACCTGTGGAATACACGTCAATCATGTGGATAGCTATTGAAAATTGCAAGAAATGTGCCTTTTGTAGACCAGACATGGTTGGTAGATTGCTGCATTGGTATGGACACACTAAAACCATGTTTTGTCTACTTGAACGCCCGGCTCATCGAAAAGCTGAAGAATAGTAATCGTAAGCAGCCACAACCATTAAACATATACAATGAAACTGGACTATTCATTGCTCATCTGACGTCAGCGCTATTAGGCTTTGGCCTTTTTGGCCGCCTTCTTTGGCTTGGCAGCGGCCTTCTTCTCCTCAACCTCCTCGACAATAGGCTCAACAACGACCTTCTCCTTCTTGGCCCGCTTGCTCTTAGGTGTTGCTTCCGGAACAGTCTCCTCGGTAACGGCGGCAGCCTCGAGTGCGACATCTGACTTGCGCTTGCTGGTCCTCTTAGGCTTCTTGTCTGCAACAGGTACAGTGGGTTCAGCAACCTCCTCAGTTGCGACCTGAGCGGGTTCAACAGCCTTCGCTTTTGCACCCTTCTTGCCCTTCTTTGCGGGTGCAGGGGAGACAGCCTCGACAACCTCTGTGACCTCGACAACCTCTGTGGGCTGAGGCTCTGCTTGGGCCTTCGCACCCTTCTTGCCTTTTTTGCCCTTTGGTGTGGTAGTCTCCTCAGTAGTTGCCTCGGTAAGAAGCTGCTTGGGCTTCGCGGGCTCGAGAGTAGTTATGCTAGTGTGCTTAGGAATACTGTCGACAGTCTTAAGCGCCGGTGCTTCAAACTCGTAGTCGAAGGTCTCTTTGAGCTGTTTAGCCTTGCTCGTCCTCCTCTTGTTCTCGTTTTCGATGCGCTTTCCCCATTGCTCTCGTCCGACACCACGCTCCATCTCGAGACCGGCCTTTTTGTTGCGGGGGTCGACCTTGAATCGCTCGTTGGCACCCTTGAAGAGATCTGGGTGGACCTGCTCATTAGGGATGAGATGAACTTTGAGAATGTGGCCGAACAGCAAGTAGTTGTTCATGGTTCGCGCGACGATGTCAGCGACTTCTTGTGATTGGAACTCGACGAAGGCAAAGTGCTTGGAGGCGCCAGTCTTCTTGTTGCGTGACAGACGTAACCGGTTGACTTTGCCAAACTGTGAGAAGTACTGCTTCATCTGAGGTTCGAAGAAACCGCGAGGCACGCGACTAGACGAAGTATTAGCAAACCATAGTGTACAATGAAGTGGTACACATACCCAACGTAGAGAATACCAGGCTCGTTGGACTTGGGAGCAGCCTCTGCCTGCTTGATCGCTTTCCGCTGTTTTGCGCTAAGTTTGGGAACCTTTGCGGCCTCGTCAAAGTTTTCGTCTTCGTCAGCATCATCCGAATCGGAATCGCTGAAGCCAGCGAGTAGAGCTGCGGTCTGGTCGTCTTCGGCTGCGTCGTCTGCGTCGTCTTCTACTGCTGTGACCTCGGTAACCTCTACCTCGGGTTCAGTCGCTTCTTGCTTCTTTCCACCCTTGGTCTTCTTTGGCTTTGCGACAGTGGTGGTCTCCTCGACTACAACAGCGGCATCCTCGACAGGTGCGGCATCCGCTGCCTTTCCCTTCTTAGAGGCCTTAGCCTTGGGCTTGGGAGCCTCTGCTACGACAGTCTCCTCTGCAACTACAGTCTTGCCCTTCTTTGCTTGCTTCTTGGGCTTCTCTTGTACTTCGGCGACCTCGACTACCTCGGCGACAGGCTCGGCCATTTTAACATCGACATCAGCAGCGGCCTTGCTCTTCTTGCCCTTCTTTGGCTGGACAGGCTCAGCAACGGCGACGGGCGCAGCCTCTTCTTCAATGTCCATAAAGTCGGCAGCTTGTTTACGCGCAGATTTCCTGGTTGGCTTGGCTTCAACGGGCGCGACATCGTCCGACTTTCTGGGCTTCTTCGCCTTTGGCGCCGCCTCTGATGCGACTGAGATGGGTTAGCGAGCATATCCAGGATTTATTCTCGTCGCAATTACTCACCCTTGCGCTTCTTGCCCTTAGTGTCGTCGGCAGCCATGTTAAATTCCTGTGATTGCGTGAGGTTTGTGTGGTCGCGAATGTTGTTACGCGCAAAAGTTCGGAGGAGAGCTCAGGCGCGGGAACTTTTTTCGAGGGCAGTCGCGCTAGCGGACACTTGCCAAGATAGTCCCCCAGCCTTCACCATCCACCTGCCATTTCATACACTCGCGCTACGTCAAAAGATATCAACTATACCAATACTCACTAAACACTGTGTTGTCAGTTTCTCGGGCTGACTGTTTGGCTTGCTCTACTCGCCACCAAATTACTCTAGGTCCGACCAACATGGCGCCCGTCGTAGATATGAGCGACAAGAACGCGTGGGATGATTCTCTACTGATCGATTCCTGGGATAGCGCGGTTAATGAGTATAAAGTACGTCTTCATGAACCACCATTTCGTGATCTTTGGAGGATATCGACTAAACAGAATAGAAATATCACAGCATCCACCAATCGGGTAAGAAGCTCGAAGACGTCCTAACTGAGGAGGAGCTAAAGGAACTACGGGCGTAAGTAGCTTCTAACGCTGTACGTGATGATGCTGACGTTTGTAGGGACTATGGAGACTTGATGGATGGAGCGGAGACGGCATCGGCAGCAGCAGAGACTAACGGCGTCGCGGATCATGAAGATATCGATACGCCAATGTCAGAAACCAATAGCGTTGCTCAGGCAGACCAAAGCGGTCCGTCGCCGCAGCAGGTACGTGGACATGCGAAACAGTCGAGTACCGAACCCTGTCTTACAAGAACCAGGAACCAGATCTCTCCGGAGAGCAAGAACCGCAGATCCAATCGCCAAGGGCTGAGGCTCCTCCGGTGCCACATGCTGCCGGAAGTCTTGCAGGTGCCATGCCGCAGGCCATTCTTGGAACAGGTAAGTCTTGATTTTGACAGCCGTTGCTTCCGGACGATGTGGGGAGCTTGACAGTTGATGACATGCTGACTGTGTACAGTACAGGATGAGAATATGAAGAACATTATGATGTCGTGGTATTATGCCGGTTACTATACTGGTCTGCATGCTGGACAACAGCAGGCTCTCAAGGAGCCCCCATCAACACAGTAGCAGATCCACAGAATGACGACTCTTGAAAGCATTTTACGTCAAACTGTGGCTGCCCAGCGCGTTTGGAAGGCACAGTAGACACTTGGAGGCTTGAATGTCATTATTTTGAACCAATAGGGTGAGAAACCTCATGGTCCAGCCCTTGTACGCGACTGACCACCTATACAGGTTGTGCCTCAAAACTTCGGGAACACAGGCTGCGAGATGAAAGCTCTGCAGTTCCTTCATGCGGCTGGCGAGTTCCCAGCCCCATAGCTCAGGCATCTTGAATAGTTGTGTCCCTGCGCTTATAGCCTTGGTGGTTCATAGATTACCGAATCGGGCGGAAGCGAGACAGATCTGCGACACCACCGCGACAGTCTCGAACCCACCTCCAACGGTTCGAGCATCAAACACCCCCGCCGTTGCGCCCAGCCAAGTGCGCATCACCAAAATCTCGCCATTCTTGCAGGCGATCAACGTTTCTCCCAGTGCCATGCCGAGAGCAGGGGGCTGGTGTTTCGCCATGTGCGCGACCGGCCTGCAAGCTCTTCAGTGTCAACAATTTCATGCGTGGATTTAAGGAATAGAATATCCCCAGGCATAAACTTTCTCCTCATCTCATCGCTCTTGCCTCATAATACCAGTGCTCCACTCTCTTTCTCTTACTTCATCTGCTTCTTATTGTCCGAGCCGGCCCTCGTAGTGCCCTTTCAATCCTTCAACCTTCTATCGTACATTCTAGTGCTTGCAGCGCAGGCTTACGTTCACTTTTACGACACTTTACACGATACGCAATCTAGTCATAATGAAGTACTTCACAGCACTACCCTTGGCAGCCGCGCTTGCATCCGCCGAGATGCAGGTCATGAGCCTTGCTCCTGCCGCCGCGACTGGCGCGATGACACACACTGTAAGCGCATCCTCGAGCCCTATTATTGAGCTTCATTTAACAAATTGTAGGTCGTCGTTGGTGGAATGAAGCCTGTTGCAACCGGCATGGCGCCCGTTCTAGGATACAGCCCCGAAGCCATCAAGGCCGCTGTCGGCGACATGGTCATATTCGAGTTTATGCAGAAGAACCACACTGCCACCCAATCAACCTTTGCTGAGCCCTGTAAGAAGATGGAGGGAGGAATGGACTCTGGCTTCATGCCCAACCCCGAGGGCAAAGCTGGCGTCACATGGAACATGACTGTTGAGACAACAGACCCGCTTTGTAGGCTTTCCACGTTTATCGAGAAGGTGTAACAAAGACTAACATCATTAAGGGTTCTACTGCAAGCAACAAAACGGTATCCATTGTGGAAAGGGCATGGTATTCAGTATCAACGCTGCCGAGACTGGCGACAAGACCATGGCCGACTTCAAGGGTCTCGCCATCAAGACCAACGGTACAAGCCTCGTTGCAGGCGACCTCCAGTCTGTTGACCCCAACGCCGCTGCCGCCCCTACTACCGTCACCATTGAGGCTGGAGGTGCCGCCGCGACTGGAACCGGCAGCAGTGCTCTCGCTTCCGCCACCGTTGTTGCTGGACAGGGAACAGATGGTGCTGGTCAGACTTGCTCATGCCAGTGCCTCTGCGGTATGGCTTCTTTCCCCGAGACCGCAGCCATCAACAACTTCGGTGGATTCCCCGGCATGATTGCCTAAACGCCCTCACGACGAAACTTGGAGAGACGGTAATGAGGAGGATGGATCGACTGGGTGTATGCGTCTGGTTGGTCTTGGGTGGTGGTCGAGAACAACATTCTTATGACGGATTCGGCAAAAACGCTTCTGGTTTAGCATTTGTCCGGATTCTTATACCATTTTTATCATTTGCTGGGGCGTTTCGCATTATACCGTAATCCACATGCTGCGATGATTGCCGCGCGGTGGTGCTATTTAGGACTTGATTGCAAAGATGTAAACCTTTAGTATTAGAGCTAGATCCAAGAGATCGCACTTTCAAACTCTATGTTTTCCCTCAAAAATGTTGTTGGTACTTTACTGGTGTTATTCAGCTGTGACAAAATATTCTGTGTCGCATGGGAAACTAGGCGCGATGGGTTTCTCACGGCGTTCAAAATCAGAAATCGGTGTATTCGGTATATCGAAAATCAATCCAAGCACACTCTTTCGCCTTCTAATCCAAATCCAAGAAACTCCGCTCCCATGATGACAGGCTTCTAAACAGGTTGACCTGCGACTGTGGCGTGTCAAACTGTTGTCGTTATCGCGTTGCACATCTTGTCTGACCGCTCATTTCTTAGCGCCCTCAGCAGCCTTCTTTGCCTCAGCTACACAAGGAGTCAGCATCGGATTGTTACACACAGCGCATAGCCTTTTCAAGTCTGTGCAGGCTCAGAATGCGACGATGGTAACTTACCAGCAGCTTGCTTAGCACGCATGATCTCCGCTACGTTCTCCTTGGTGCGTGCGAACTCGGTACCGGATTGCTGCAGCCTGTGATCAGCCAACATCCTTCAAACCCCCTATAGACAGCTTCTCTCATATGCACATACAGTGTTCTTGCCTTTCTATTTGTCAAGTCAGCGGATGATTCTTTGAAGAAAACCACGGCACGTGTAGTTGTGCATGGTAAAAACAGCGACAGAACATACCTTTCCGGCCTGCTCCTTGAGGTTCTTCTCCCGAGCCTTGTCGCGCTGGTTGCCACGAGCCATTTTATCGTCTTTTTCGAAGGTGATGCACGTAAAGTTTCCCGAGTTTGTCTCTTCGGGCTGGTTGTTGCAGCGTGCGAGGTCTTGACTTGGAATACTCCTTAAGGGCGCTGAGGAAATTAGAGGTTTGGGTAGTCAGCGGCGGAAGTTCTGATAAAAATAGCGCGTTGTTTGTTTCCGCTGGCCAATCGATGGCAGGGGAAATCACGGGCTAGAACGTGGAAGGGGAAGCCGCGATTCGGGGTTTCTTCGCCACGTGCATGGACCTTCACGATCTTCCTTTTTCATCGAGATCGCTGTTTACTTTTGCTTATAGTACCCGTTGTTGCACCGTTGTGGACTTGACGTCCGTTGTTCCGCACATGCTCCCTGCTGCCGTTGGCCTGGTACGAGCAACTTCTGGTTCTGAAAATGAGCCACTCTGGATCACAACCCAGCACCACCAATGTTTACTCTTCACTGTGATCACATCTCGCAAGCTCAAATATACGAAAAAACTAGGCTACATCTCACAAACTAGCTTGCATCGTGCGACTCGCAATGCACATCAGGCGGCAGTGGCTACTGTTAGCACGTTCAGCGCCCCGCATAAGGCTGAAGGTTGACTTCGCCAGCGGTACTCTACAGCCCGCTATTTGCGCCAATAGTTCTGAGATAGGTTGAGCCGCCAGCTGTATAAGAAGGCTGCACGGGCTTCCTTACATAGCCTCTCCTTCTATGTCTCTAGGCATCAGCCCTCTGTCACACTCCTCTCTGAATCTCTACTGAACTATCTCATTCACAATCGTCCTATGGTATTTGTCTGCCGCTTGTCGTAGTAGATCAACGCAACTCTCGAGTTGCGACCCCAGTGGAGATGGCTCAGTACGTCTATCAGCCTTTGAATGAAAGCAACAGCGAGATCAGGCTGATAACGTTGCTACCTTCATCGGATCGAGACAGCGAAGTGATCTGCGACCTCAAAATTGTTCGGCTTACAAAAGAGGACGCCCCACACTACATAGCACTATCGTACACCTGGGGTTCCGCAGAATCGCCTACGAGGCTTCGAGTCTCGTCAGAAAATGATCACAGTATCGATATTACCAGAAACCTTGCAGAAGCTTTACCGTATCTTCGCGATCGTGTTTCACCCAGAACACTATGGATCGATAGCATTGCTATCGACCAAAAAGATCTAGCGGAGAGGAGCCAACAGGTCCAGCGGATGGCTGATATCTACAGTTTAGCAGCGGGAGTGATTGTTTGGCTGGGCAAAGACGACGCCAGCAGTAAGGTGGCCATGGAAACGTGCATGATCCTTGGTACCAAGGTTGAGGTTGAATTCAACGGAGAAAAGAAACTGAGAAGCCTGACTGATGAACCGGATGATGCTCATTGGGTCGACATGAGACAACCGCTTCCGTACGACTTCGCAACATGGCAGGCGATCCTAGAACTTCTGCGCCGACCGTGGTTCCATCGCCTCTAGATTTGGCAGGAAATAAGTCTAGCCAAATCGAACGCTGTCATTATGTGTGGCACCGACACGATGCTATGGAAACGACTCCGCACATTGCTAGATTGTATTGCCTATAAACGCTGCCTAATTCCATTTGTAGGCGATGAGACTGAAGACGCAAGTGTGTTCGTGTCGAACGCGTATAGTCTAGCAAGGGGCATGGAAGTTTCGCTTTTGGATCTGCTTGCATACATGCGACATGCTCAATGTCACGATCCACGAGACCGGGTATACGGTATCTTGGGATTATCATTCAAGATTGGCACGGGAACAGACCTACGACCCGATTACAACAAGCCAATAGTGGACGTGTACATGGACCTTATGATGGCCTCAATGCAGAAGTTGAGACGTCTTGACTTGTTGTCCCTATGCAGATACGAGGAAACGAGAGGAAACTGGCCATCCTGGATACCTTATCTCATGGACTTGGAAAAGGGGCGTCGCATAGCCTCGTTTGCGTCTGGGAAGTCATGCTGTGAGGTAGAACTGCTGGAAAACAGGATACTGCGGATGACCGGAATACGCCTGAGTCAAATCACCATGGTAGATGAGTTTGATGCGTCTTATGAAAACGCTGAATCTGCGATCCAACGGTGGGCGAATCGTTTAGATATGGCTTCCGATTACGTCGATGGCAAATCTCTTGCCGAAGCGTTGTGTCTCGCCATCTGTGGAGGTGACCTGGCAGACTACTATGTGCCAACTCTCAAGTCGCATCCAGGCCTAGCATCATCGGTAGCAGTGCTTAAAAACACCGTGCAGCCTGAATTCAGTACGGCTGTCACGGATTGGGATAAGAAGGACTTCTTCCACCACGTATTCACCATGTGCAGAGACCGAGCACTCTTTACAACGTCCTCTAATCACATCGGTATATGCCCCAAAGATACCCGCAAGGGTGACCAGATTTGCGTATTACTTGGATGTGATGTCCCAGTAGCCATACGTTCAGACTCGAATGGGCATTACAAGATAATCGGAGATAGCTACGTGCCCGGATTTAGCAGCAATGAAGGGTTCTTAGGACCTCTACCTAAAGGTTATAGAGAGGTGCAACACTATAGCGCTCAATCAGGGATGGATTATTGGGTCTACCTGAATTCGGAGACTGGGAAGATTCAGGTCGGAGATCCAAGGCTGGGTGATGAGCTACCGTCAGGGTGGCAGCGAGTCACAGATATTGAAAGGCAATTCTGGGAAGAGCATGTCCATGATGGCGCGTCGAGTACGCGGACATATCTTGATCCTAGGTTGACGAAGCCGGAGCTACTTAAGCGCGGAGTACCGCTGGAAGATATTGAGTTTTCGTAGGCGACGAATTTCGGGAATGTTGACCAAGTGAGTTCCTAGTGCTCGAGGCTATTACGAATCCTCACAAGCTGTGTTGTAAAAATACAGATGGTGTGAAGGTAGGGCCCGCGATGCGAAGCACGTGAAGGAAAGAATCGCGACAAGCGGGGCTTATCTGTCAGACTACGCGCTAAGCGAGACCCTGATCAAAGTGATCGCGCTCTCCCGCGCTATGTGCAGAACATTTCCCCTCGCTTCTACACCAACATATCCACTCGATCCACCACCATGCCTATCTCCAAGAAGGACAGAGTACGTTGAATACCAAACACTGGCTGCTGCTGATGTGATATACTGACACCCTAAAAAGATCCAGCGCGAGCACAAGAAGGCGGACAAGGCTGGCACCCGCGCGCCAGTCAAGGCAAACGGCCTGCCCGTGAAGCCGCCCAAGCCCACGTCCATCGTAGGCACTCTCGCGCTTCCTACCTGATGCTCTTGCATTGCATGGCATCATTGCGCACAGCTGACCATCCATTTAATACAGTGCCAGAACTGCCGCCGCGAGATCGTCAACACCAACAAGGCGCAGCTCGAGGCCCATGCCGCCAGCCACGACGCCACGACGTGGCCCAAGGAGAAGTGCTGGCCAAACGACTTCTGAAGGATTTTGTCTTGGGCTTGGAATGGTCGGCTGGACTACAATCAGTGGAGGCACACACACGCGAATATCCTTTGATGGGGAATATCCAGCAGAGGGCAGGCAAATGACCGACTTCGCACTACGAGGAAGGACGTCTTAGTTGCTGTATGATTATACCACATGGTCCAAAGGAAGGACATGTCACCCCGCAGCCACGCACGCTTGCCGTGGCAGGCATGCGAGCAGCCAGTAGTCACACTGAAGACTCAGTATTTGAATGGCACCTGTCACATACTCATGGAAAGCACAAGTGCTCCCTGATGCTGTTTATCTGCACACACACACACACACACACACACACACACATGTTTTTGCAAGACTCTCCCTGGTATGACCAGCGATTCGCACCGGAAGCGTAGTAGCCTCACCGGTATCCACACCTCTGTCGTCTGAGCTACACAGTCTGTCCGCACGCATGTTCGAGATGTGTCGCTGATATCCCAGCACTAACCCAAGACTCTCCCACTCGTTCGCGAAAGCAGTGGAGCCCTCTCTTCCCGATTCAACCTCTCTTCACCCTCGCCGCCTCCATGGCTGCTCTTCGTCCTCCAAACAATATACGAGTACCCAAGCGGTGGATAGAAGAATACACTGTGCAATGTTAGACCATCCACTCCTATCAGATAAAACGCCATCCTACATCAGTAGCAGACTGGCAAGCGCATCATGCTGAACTCGTCTCTTGACATAGTCTGGATCCACGTATGTGTCAGGGGCATGGTCATGATGTTGGACACGCCATGGGCCGAATGCAGAATCCAAGATAAGCCAAAGCCACAGTCCCGTTGCAAGCACCGATTTTGCAGCCTCGAACATAAGCACCTGGTAGGGCGTCGCAATCGCCTTGCGCTGTACGTATACGATGAACACGATGCCTGCAGCCATAAATGCCGTCATTGAGGGTGCACTTTCAAGACTGTTAGTCTGCGCAGGACACGCATATTGCAACAAAGCGCAAGCAAGACCCACAAGAAGGAGTAGAAGTCCTCTCGGTAAGGAAACACCATCTGTTCCCATGCGAAGAACCCCAAAATGACCATTGTGGGTATTGAAACGATGGCCTGGAAGATGCCAAAGCCCCGAAGAGTCTGTTGCCCAAGAGGGCGATTGTCCACACTTGCCATGCCAGTGACGCTGCTCAACAGTACGAGTTATTAGCCCTGGAGTAATTTAATGTGCAAAAAGAGGTTTGCCATCCGGTAATGTTGAAAGAAAACGGAGCATCGATGTACCTTGTGGTCTTGAACCCGAAATCGCGGTGAGGTGCAAATGCTGCTGCCTAGGCATGTGAAACATTAATATGAAGGATTGTGGCGCAGCTTGAATATCGTATTGATCCAACCCAAAAGCACGAAAGTCCGCCTTGCTCTACCGATTGATTGCATGCATGCTTATCTTTTGTCCAACATCACATTTTCCCCACCTCTACGAAATGCTGAGCAAAAGCCGAGATCCACTAGATTCAAAATCGAGGTTGGCAGTACTGGTATCGTTTACTACAGTATATGTAATATGATTTGTTGCATTTGCCATCCCTTGCTGGAGGTCATTAACACTGCCATAAATCCGTAGACGTTACATATCGCTCTACTTCTTTTCTAGCCTACTCTTCTCGTCGTTCAATATCTCCTCAACATTATCTTCAATGCTTGGTCCTTTCGGCTGCCATCCTACTAACTTCTTCGCCCTCTCCGCCTTACCGCGGCTGTTGAAACCCCAGCTTACAGCTTCGAAACCTGCCTGCTCAATCGCCTTGTCCTTGCCAAGCTTTTCCTCTTTCAACTCTTTCTTGTCGACGAGACCTAGCTCCGTTGCCTTCTTACCCATGAGGCGCGCAAGATCTGCCCATAGATGCTCTCCGTTCTCTACGAGATAGTACCCCTGTTCGTTCCAGAGCTTGGAATCGGTGTTGCTATTCACGGCGGCTTCGGTCAGCAGAACGAAGAGTTGGGCAAGGTCTGAGACGTGGACGTTGTTCCAACGCGCTTTTCCTTGGCCGATGATGGGAATGTATTGACCAGTCAAGATCAAGTGTGCAAGTTCGTATGCCTGTCTGCTTCTAGTGTTCAGCGGGCCTCGTCCACGCCCGTAAATGGTCGGTGGGCAGAGGATAGCTGTCTTGACTGACTCAGATCCAGCTGCCAGCACAAGGTCATCGACGTTCTTGTGGAAAGCATCCTTTGGCAATCCAGTCAAGTCTTGCACGGCTGTCCAATCGTTGTATTCACGTTCCGACCATTCGCCCAACTTGTTGTCGTCTCGCATAGTCTCCCAGCACAGGATACCAGTGCCACCAGTGTGCAGCCAGAATCCAGGCTTTTCCTTGGAGTGGCCAGATGCCAGACCCTTTGCGATCGCTTTCGCGGCGCCTTCGTGGTCAGATGCATCCGCAGTGTCTGCGAATCGTTAACGCTGACTGCATTGTCACTCAATCCCATGGGTAACTCACGAATTACTACATCCGCCTTTGCTGCCTCATCTTCCAGGATCTTGGAGTCGTCCAAACCACCAATAACGATCCGCACCTTGGGGAAAGCCTCGGTGACAGACTTGGCTTTCTCCTCTATACCCTCATCAGTATGCTGCACTGCCCACGGAGAGAGCACTAATAACTACCTGTCCGCACAAGAGCCGCAATCTCGTAATCAGAGTGCTTGTTGTACAGCGCAAAGAGGGTGTCGCCTCCAATATAGCCAGTTGCGCCGGTGCTGAAGGGGGTGAGAAATTAGCAAGTCGATCGACATTTCGACGGGTTTACGTACAGAAAGATTTTAGGTGCCATGATTAAACTATTAGAATATGAATCTGTGATGCGGGTTGCTAGAATTCTGTCTTGCGTTTGTGCTGATGCACCTCATATCATTGATGGAGCACTACGACCGCATGTGACGTCATCACGCCAGAAACATCGGGACTACTGGAAGAACCTTTTATCGCACGGCAAGCCCCAAATCTAGCCCTACTGATGTTGCATACAGAACGTCACCTTTGCGCCTGGTACTGTTGTTAACGGCTACAACCATCCTTACACTCACATAAGACCTGAATCAGTATGTAAGTGGCGTGTCGCATAGCTGCATCTTGCACAGCTTGCATCCTCTCGGCACGTGGTTGTCTCAAAAAGGCCATTCTTTATGTCCATAGGTATGGCAACGATAGATTACTGTAAACTGCGGCTCAAGCCACTTCTGACACCTCTGGAAATTGATCACCAACTTTGGAGAATGCGCCCTCTTTTCCTTTTTTCAACGTCATATCCAAGAAGGTAGCAACATATTCGGTTACAAGGGTTGTCATTCTGCGACCCTCGATATTACCCAGAAGCTCTCCAACCTCCGCTGGCAATTTCCCATCTAGACCCAACGCGGTTATGACCAAGGGAAGGTCTGAGAAGCTGTAGTGCGCAGCGTTCTTGACTTCGAACTCCTTCTTCCAACCAACGAGGTGTGGCCAGAGAGTCTTCCAGGATGGATCAGTCTCTTGTGTCTTGTTTTCGTGGCCCATGAGCATGAAGAGACCGTCGAAGCCGGTTGTTAACACAGAACCAAACATGGAGCCGTCAAGATTGACTCCACCTCTGAGAGAAGGCATATTCATCATTGCAGTAGCTGCTGCTGCACCACCCAAGGAATGTCCAACAACGGCCATTTTGGATACCCTTTCACGGCGCAAACCTGTTGGAAATAGATCTTTCGAAGCCGAGACGTTGTAAATCTGGTTAGAGACGAACTCAATGTCCGCGACTCGTGTGCTAAGGGCAAGCTCAATGTCCGCGTCGCTGTCAATCTCGACGCCGGTCACTATGGTACCATCGGGGAACTCAACCATGTCGGCATCGTAGGGGTGGTCGATAGAGAGTACCAAATAACCAGCAGACGCGATATTCTGGAGCATGGCATTGTACAGATGTCGAGACGTGGCGAGTGCACCTGAGAACAATACGACGGGCAACAAGTGGCTGGAGCAAGCGTCTTGTCTTGCTGGAGTCACACACGTTTCGAGACCCAGTGATTGGAAGCTTCCGTTAGGGAGACCGTATGCGCCAAACTTGGTATCCATGAAATTTGCTGTAGCAGGCGGCATATAGGAATCGATTTTTCGGCGGCGACAATGAGTGACGGGATGAAAGCTGGACACCACGACAGATCGAGGACTGCTGTTATTGGCGTATGGATCTAAGCGACTATGGTCTGTGAGCGATGCGGAAGCGACCGTCACATCGTAGTGGTGGGACCCGAGGACGGGGAGTACGGTTCTGGCAGATACAATGCCTGGCGAAGATGCCAGAAGTACAAGTAAAAGTGAATTGCAAAGACCCATGATATCGAAGATTGATGAGGAAGATGGTATGCGGGATTTCGCTGCGATTTGGAAGGAAAGGGTAGAGAATGCTAGCTGTGTTCAATTCGTAGCAGTGCTGCAGTGGTATCTATAGTTCCGGCTTGAGTGGAAGATATATGCTCGACCCTCTTCAAACCGCTCTATCATGACCAAAAGCAGACATAGCAGCAGGTACCATCGTAATTAGCCAAAGATGACAATGCAGCAGAGCCGCAGTTTGACCGATATAGTTGGTACAGGTGGTTCTCTCCGGTGGCTCATCGGTGGTATTAGTGTTTAGTCTCAACGAAGCCTAGACGCGTTCTTTCGCTTCCTAAATCGGTTAAGTTGAATGGCACCGACTCTATTAGGGCCCGCCGCTCGTATGCTTCGTTCGTCGTCAAGCGATACCATTTCCTAAAGCATTCTTCTTGACATTCCGAAGTCTTCAATGTTGTCTGGAAACAACCCCTCTTTGGGTGTCGTGCACTAGCAATCAAGCCTTGCCACCGCAATCCAACTCAGCGTTCGTGAGATCGCAAGCAACATGTCACCGAGCATTGGGCCGTATGATGGTCGTAAGGCTCGACGAAAACGATGCGGAGCCTGTTCCAAGCGAAAGATCAAGGCGAGTGTTCTGGCCATCTACAGTCTGACCTCGCTGACAGGCTAAGTGCGATGGAGGAATGCCATGTGACCGCTGTAAACGGACACAACAAGCATGCATAGCACCCACACGGCCCGCGACTTCGAGCTTCGTCTTCGTCAACCCAAGAACCAAGCCCGAAATGCGGCTTTTATCACAAGTTAGCTTGGACAAGACTGAGGAAGAGGTGAAATACTTCTTTAGCTCATTTTTGCCTATGAACACTTTCTCGCATGGTAACTTGCTAGTGCAAAGGGAGCTGCAAAGCATGATGCACTCCTCGAACGCTTTGAGAGATGCTCTTTGCGCAATAGCGTCTCTACACAGATTCCAGCAAATTCAATGTTCAGGACCAGGGATTAAGGATATGAACTGGCGCCGGAGTGCAATGCAGCTTTATGTTGGATCGGTTCGCTGTGTTCAAGCCCAGATTACCCAGAACAAATTTGCAGACGATCCTTCCACTCTCTGGACGACGTTTCTTCTTGGCCTTTTTGAGGTATGCAAAAAATGTTCGAGCAGACGTGATCATAGTCTGACATAGCTTAGTTGATGTGCGATGCCAGCGGAACCAATTGGCTCTCGCACTTCCTGCACGGAACTTGCACGATTCTACGTCTTCAACATCCTTCCTGCCTTGCTCTTGCAGACGAAGAAAGTACGCGAAAGCGTACCTTCTTCCTCTCTGCCCGCATATTCGAGATATCGAGGGCCTTGATCTACTCTGAGCCTACCTTCTTAAGTGAGCCAGCATGGACTAGCGCACTAGCAGATCTTTGGAGCGGCGAAGGAGCCGCTTTTTGGCACCCCAAGGAAGCACTCTTCGATATGCTGCCTAGCTTTTCCGAATTGAGTATACGCGCAATCCAGTATTGCGCATCAGAAGCAGAGCATCTATCGGAAAAAGTGCAGACTGAACAAGCGCAGTACCTGGCCGCTGAAGGCTTGCTACTTCAACAATCTTTGCATGAATGGTGGGATGGCAGCAACGTATGGCAGTCTGCATCAGGTGCATTGGACCCAGAGCTTCTTGTCGCCCATGTGTACTATCATGCCGTTAGCATCTACCTCTCAGGTACTTATGACTATCATGTGCACTGGACCAAGCCTACGGCGCCACGTGCGCCGATTTTACCCCGTACTCAGATCGAGTGGCACACACACGAAATCCTTCGGTTGAGTCGTGAGTTATTGGTCACTGGAATTGCAGGGGTGCTGCTGTTCTTCCCTTTGAGGGTCGCAGGAGCGCGTGTTCGGACTACCCATGATATGAAGGAAATCTTGACCTTGTTCCATATTGTGTTGCAACGTGGGTATGCCGTTGCTGACGCGTTGACGGCGGATTTATTGGAGTTGTGGGGATGTAGAATTGTACCGTAGATGTCAGTGGAATCCAGAGAGATGGATACGTCCTGAACAGTAAAACTCCTCGCGACGACTTCGAATCTTGTAACGCAAGAGGTCATTGCAAGGTACACATGGACGATTGGAGAAAGTGCATGGGGTGCTTTGACGGCCAATCACGTTTGCGTTATTGGCTGTTGCAGCGCCTTGCCTATTTCAGCTAATAGGAAAAGGCTTGGCATAGCAGCACCGCTCGCAGCTTTCTGACGGGAACGTCGACGCCGCCGCCCACGCATTGCACCTCCACAACCACCACCCACATCGTCACAATGGCTCTCGGACCTTCTGACATCCACGCAAAGACCAAGACCACGTATGTCCGCAACCCCGTCGAACGCAATCGCAGCCACCTTCCCCGAATGAAACCGGTCCTCGAACCACATTCCAGCGCACAACCATCGGAGTAGCAAAGGGAATAGGCTGACAATGGCATAGATGGCACATCGGCTCATGGGGTAACCCCTACGAGGGTGGTGGCCGACCCGGAAAGGGCGTCGTCACCTACGCACTGAGCCCCAACCGTCAGCGCCCCATGGCCACCTTCATCGGCAAGGGCTTCTGGAACGTCGTGCGCCGCTCGAGGAACCAGGTCCTCTACTTCATCCCACCTCTGGCCATCGCATACGGCACTATGCAGTGGGCTATCGAGAAGTGAGTTGATGGATATTGATGAGAATAGCAGGGACATGGCAGGGCATTGGTGCATGGGAAAGCAGGCTAACAATGGTAATAGGAACGAGTTCCTCAACTCCAAGACTGGCCGCGCCCTGTACGGCGACGAGGAGTAAGCGAGCGGAGAAGAAGAGCGATGAAGGTGGGTGTATAGTAAGAGGAGTTGGAGGGAGGAAGCGGAACACGACAATTCTCTTTGCATCAAGCCAACGAATAGACTGTACAACCAACATGCACGTTCCTTTCCACCCGTGTCGCGTTCTCAATCTACTAGACAAAAGTCTGTCGCCCAGTACACGGCCCTTCATTGATCACTTCATACTCGGGGATTACACCACCCTCGAAAGGCGCAGTAATAGTGACTGTCTCCTGGTCACTCGGATACGTTGTGACATGTCCCTCGCCCGTCAGGTCGGCAGCGAACAGCAGACCGCCTTTGCCTCCGTACAACCACAGCTCCCGAGACGGGTCTTGAGGCAGAGTGATGTGCGCGAGTCCAGCTAGCAACTGTACGATCCTCGGCATTGTCAGCGCAAATTAGTGTACGAGGGAGATCTGACTCACTGTGGCACAGGAGCGTTATGCAATCCGCCTTCGAAGCGTGGTGGCTGGACAACGTAGCTTAGATCCGTCACATTCCCTAGGTTTAATGCACGGCTTCCTGTGATGCCTGCTGTTGTGGATATCAAGAAAGGATTCCTCAGACGCCAACACTGGATGGTGGAGGTGTTTTGAGGCGTGGTGACTAACGCAGGCGCCGTAAGGTAGAGGGTGTTGTTTGATGTATCGCACGTTTGGGCAGTTATAAGGGAAGACAAGGAGAGCACGGCGAAGGCAGATATAGAGAGATGCATTGTTGCAGAAGGCTATGTTATGATCTCGGAATGACTAGCAGTTGGGTAGCCTCTTATGTTCAAATATATTGCGGTGCGAAAGAACAAAGTTGGTGCTGTACTACGCTATCGCTACGGGCTGACGACCCCGGGGTAATAGCTGGTCGGACATAAGATAATGAAACTAGTAGATCGGTGCATGAAGGCGCATCTGGATGATCGACATGCAGTGCATTGATGGAGATGTATGGGTATGACATTATAGACCGCTTAGGTGTGATGTGGTCATGTATGGCGGCCGGGCTGAAGCAGAAGCCAATCTAAGAAGAGCAGTCGTTATTCATCACCAGTGCGTCTCTTTGCAAAGCATTGGGATGAAGAGAATAAGCTCAATAGATGAAGGTTTACCAAAGTCAAGTTCTAGGCCTAGGCTCTAGCACATGTTCACGCGTACAGGCGACCCCGCTTAGTAAGGTCGGCATGTCGGTGGCATGTAGAACTTCGATGATTCTGTCATATCCTAGCTTTCGCCATCGAAGCGCACCCGCCACAAGACATTCTCCTACTGCCAGCTCGAGGCAGTCTGAACAGGCGCGGTATTACTCTCACCCTACTTATCTGTAATATACCCAAACCCATCATTATACCCCACCCCGCAGTCCCGTCACATCTGTTCCGCCGCCATGTCGACACTCCTCCGCCGCTCAGGCAACTTAGCGCGACTATCCCGACCCTGCCTCAACGCTGCCACGAGGGCACCACGCACATTACGCACACGAGCACCAATACCACAATGTATATATACCCAGCAACGGGCGCGGCGATTCGCAACCGGCCCGCCCGAGGAGCCCAAGAACAAGAAGGAGGGCGAGGCAGCCAAGAAGGATGGCCAGGCAGATAAGCATGAGCCTGCTGATTCTGCAAAGAAGGAAGGAGAGGCCCAGATGTCCAAGCTTACACCCGAGGAGGAGAAGATGCTGGATCAATTAGTCTCCTTCGTGTCAATGGGCGTCCCCAAGTCGCAGAAGCAGAATATCAAGGAAGCAATGGAAGAGATCAAGCGCACCGGAATACCACCGGAGCTACGACACGAGATGGACAAGCTGGAGAGAGGCGAGAAGCTGGATCTGGCCACCGCGGCCAAGATCTCGCGGCTAACAACCAACATGGCCCGCAAGGCGGCTGATCAGCATCAGCAGAAATTCAAAGAGGATGGTTCGCAGGAACCACACCAGAAGTCAGGCGCACACGACCCAGGCCCAGGTACAGGCAAAGGTTCCAAGGGTGGCGCTGGCGGAGCTGGCGGACCGGTCGGGCCCATGTTCGGAGGCGGAATGGATACCAACACAATCCTCATCAGCGCTTTCCTCGCATACATCACATACAAGACCATCTTCCCAGGCGAGAACTCCAAGGAGATAACATGGCAGGAGTTCCGAACGACCTTCCTGGACAAAGGTCTGGTCGAGAAGATTGTTATCCTGAATGGCAACAGGGCGAAGGTCCACCTGCACCGTGAGGCTGTCGCTGGCATGTACCCCGACTCGCCATCAGTCAACCAAAACTTCTACTACTACTTCACTATTGGATCCGTTGAGGCTTTCGAACGCAAGATGGACGACGCACAGTACGAGCTGGGCATTCCTAGCTCCGAGCGCATCCCTGTAGCATACTCCAACGAGATCTCCTGGTTCGGCACCTTCTTATCCTTCGGTCCCACTATCCTCCTCCTCGGTTCCCTCTTCTACTTTACAAGACGTGCAGGAGGCGGCGCTGGCGGAGGTGGCGGCGTCTTTGGCATGGGCAAGAGTCGCGCCAAGAAGTTCAACCACGAGACGGACGTCAAGGTCAAGTTCTCAGATGTCGCTGGTATGGACGAAGCCAAGCAAGAGATTATGGAATTCGTCTCTTTCCTCAAGGACCCCAGCCGATTCCAGAAGCTCGGTGCGAAGATCCCTCGCGGTGCTATCCTATCTGGATCCCCAGGTACTGGTAAGACTCTTCTTGCCAAGGCTACTGCGGGAGAGTCAGGCGTTCCTTTCTTCAGTGTCAGTGGTTCTGAGTTCGTCGAGATGTTCGTTGGTGTTGGTGCATCGCGTGTCCGAGACTTGTTCGCCAATGCGCGCAAGAGCACGCCCTGCATCATCTTCATTGACGAGATTGACGCTATCGGTCGTGCCCGATCGAAGCAGAACTTCGGTGGTGGCAACGATGAGCGAGAGGCAACTCTCAACCAGATTCTAACAGAGATGGACGGATTCAACACGACTGAGCAAGTCGTCGTTCTGGCTGGTACTAACCGACCCGATGTTCTGGACAAGGCGCTCATGAGACCCGGCCGTTTCGACAGACACATCAATATCGACAAGCCCACCATGGACGGCCGAGCACAGATTTTCGGTGTACACTTGAAGAAGATCATCACCAACGAAGACATGGAGTTTTTGAAGGGCAGATTAGCAGCTTTGACACCGGGCTTCTCCGGTGCCGACATTGCCAACTGTGTCAACGAAGCTGCTTTGATTGGTATGTAGTAATGCTTCCCTAAATCGTACATGTACTAACGATCCGCAGCCGCTCGTGCCAATGCTGAGACCGTTGCAATGGTACACTTCGAGCAAGCCATCGAGCGTGTCATCGGTGGTCTTGAGAAGAAGTCCCTTGTTCTAAAGCCCGAAGAGAAGAAGACTGTCGCCTACCACGAGGCCGGTCACGCTATCTGCGGTTGGTACTTTAAGTGGGCAGACCCCCTTCTCAAGGTCTCCATCATTCCCCGTGGTCAGGGCGCTCTCGGTTACGCTCAGTACCTTCCCAACGGCGACACATACCTCATGAATGTGAACCAGCTAATGGACCGTATGGCCATGACACTAGGTGGACGTGTATCTGAAGAGCTACACTTCGACACCGTCACCTCCGGTGCATCCGACGACTTCCGCAAGGTCACTCAGATGGCCACAGCCATGGTCAGCAAATGGGGTATGAGCAAGAAGATCGGATACATCTACTTCGAAGATGGCGAGGGCCAGCAACTCACCAAGCCCTTCTCCGAAGACACAGCCAAGAACATCGATATGGAGGTCAAGCGCATCGTTGATGAGGCCTACAAGCAATGCAAGGATCTCCTCACTGAGAAGAAACACGAAGTCGGTCTCGTAGCCGAGGAGCTACTCAAGAAGGAGATGCTTGGCCGTGAGGACATGATTAGGTTGCTTGGACCCCGACCTTACGAAGACAGCCAAGATTTCCACAAGTACTTCTCTGGCGAGTATGGCAAGGCACCGGGATACGTCGAGCCTGCGGGCGACGGTGTCAAGGGGCCTCTAGTACCTCCCAGCCCAGCAACCTTCAAGGATCTGGATTCCAGGAGGTGAGGTGCTGAAGATGTAATTTATATCAATTTCTCTTTTGTGTGCATTATGGCATGTTACGACATGGATGTGGGGTTTTGGCAATGATCAAGGGGTTTCATTCCACTCTAGACGAGCATGCGCAAGGTGTCTTGTTAAAATAGACGCGCGTTTTGGCTTTGTAACAGTATAGTTCATCAGGTCAAAGAGAAAGACCAAGAACGCAATTATCCATTGTAACGTTCAAACTTTGTGGTCTACGTACTCGTCACTTCTTGTTGCGTTCCATATTAATACGTCTTAAAGCAGCTCAATGCTTAGAGTGCGAGGCGCCATACAAGAACAACGAAGTTCCATGTCTGAGCAACGAGAAACCATGCAATGCTAATGAGCGTCCATACAAGAACAGCGAGACAGAAAAATATGAAGACTACGCCGGAGAGAGCGAGTAAAGCAGCCTTGAAGATGTCTCTCTTCTTGAATGATACGGAAGAGTTCGAGGAACTCTTTAGCTGTCCAGACTTAGAATGTCCAGGAGCGCCTTCAGTGTCGCTATACAAACTCGATCGTTGTACAGGAGCCTCCCTTAGATGTCGGTTCGTATTCTGAAGTGTAGCTGACGCTAAAGTTGGGGAACTATCTGATGAAGGCATGCTAGGAAGTTGGCGTAAGACTTCCCGCATGGCATCAATATTGTGATCCAGTTTCACGCCCGGAACCTGCAAAGCTTTCTCAACAAGCGCATCCCATCCCCTTCTCCACATCATCAGATCGACACTGACAAGTCTCCTGGTGCGTTCACTACAATCTCTCATGTGCGCCTCTTGGACCGCTGAGTACACGATGTCTGGAAAGCAGGGCCTGCAATCAGCCATGAGAATCAGATCAAGCGCGTGGGTCGATATGACAGTCATCTCTTGCTCCTTCACGACCTGAATCATAACGACCATTGCCAAGGCAAAGTCATGGCTAGCCAGACTTTGGTCTAGAAAATCGGTTTCTGCCGTTGCCAACACTTGAGAGACAGTCTCATCAAAAGATGGTGCCTTATCTAGAGCATCAGAAAGGTCAGGAGAGTCCGTGTCAGAAATCCGATCAAAATTGCGCCGTATATTTTCAAAGAACTCAGTATTGCGATTGACCTTTGCAGACTCAGCTTCCCGCTCTTGCTTAACAAGCTCATCTAATGCGCTTCTCCAGATTGGCAAACCGATGTGGAGAATTCTCTTGTATCGCGCACTAAGACCTCTGGTGTCTGCCTTAAGCACTGCTAGAAAAATCTGGTCTGGGAAGCAGCGTCGGTTATCCGCCATCGCCATCAAGTCAAGCCTTTTGATCGTTGAAGCAGACATCTTCAGCTTGCTTAACACCTCACTCATGACGGTTGCGGGCAGCGCCACGAGACTTACTGTCGGGCAATCGTTTTCTATTGTTTCTAAAACTTGGGCAACCACGTCATTGAAAGTCGGCGCTCCGTCAGGAGGCGGCGTATCCTTGATTTCATCAAGCGGGTCGATGTAGTACTTCGCTCTGACAGATGAGCCCAATGAACGGGCAATCGTCTCCAGCTTTCGTAATAAAGCCAGCATCGGGTCGTTCGGTCGATCACTTATCGTCTTCAGACTGTAGACTCCTCTAGTCCGGGTTGGATAATCCAAATAGAAGTCCAGAGCTGCTTGCAATGCGACTTTCGACTTGTATACGATGTGCGAGCTGTGGTGGGCTTGGTCCAGCATGACAAGGTTGATGGTCTGCACATGTCTGCTCTCCAGGCGGAAGAAAGTGAAGTAGAATTTGTCTGCCGCTCTAGGCACTCCGTCTGCACCTTCAGCCAGTTCAAGCCGACCGTCTTGAATCACAGTGTAGGAGTTTCGAGCTTTCGCTATTGGCAAGTCTTCGAGCAAGGAGTTAGCGTTGTCTGGTTGACTGTGCGCCTGCATACGAGCTGCCAACATCAATCTCTTGTTATTGCGGATGTCTTCGCGCTGATCTTCCAAAGGTTCTGGGAGATAGTTATCGCGCAATATCATGACTAAGCGTGGAGAAACGACGCTGATTATATGAAACTCGGTATATGCAGTCGTCGTCTGTTCACCTGTGAAAAGGTTGGTGGAGTAGTCGTTCGGCCCTTCATGAATGCCAAACGCGTTTTCAGTGAGGAGAAACTCTTCAACGGCATCTGAGGGAGTAGCGAAAGACAGGTACATCGACCTAATATTGATCTTGAGCCACTCAGCGTCTTCTGGGTAGATTTCCTTGTAGAGATCTTCTGTCCATTTACCGGCAGGATCCATATGCTTTTCCATGATCCTTTCAAGGTTGTCGAGCCAGACATCGAGCGGGCGCAAGAAGTTGCGTTCTTGCATGTATTCCAGAAATAATGCCCGATCGCTCGAAGCATAATCCTCTGCTCTCTGATGATTGAAGCGTTTGAAAAAGATAGGACTGCTGTACTTCATGACGAAGATGTATTTTCGTAGAAGATCTTTGTCATGGCGTGAGAGTTTGACTTTGTCCTTGCCCGTTTTATGGGCATCTGCAACTTTGGCAATAATGCGACTTGCTTGGCCCTCAATACGGCTTAACTTTGTTTCAATTCGATCTTGATCTTTCTTGCTGAATTTCGAGTCGTCCTTGTACATGTCATATTGTCCAAAGATTCGTCCCACTGGTGATTCGACAAATTTGGGAATGTCGTGACCCAGGTCAACCGCGGTGACTACATCTTCGATTCGTTGTTTTCTGTTCTGCTTCTTGCCATGATTGAGCACGGTCGAAGATGGGTAGGAGAAGCGACGGAGCAAGAAGCGAGGGATATAGTGCTGATATTGGGCTTTGTGTAATTCAGGGTTTGCACCTGCCATCGCTAGAGTGTTGCAAACATTAACAACCAAAGATAATGAGCATGTAGTTGGAAGATGGAGTGGTTATCTTGTTCGGATACTGGATTAAGCGCCCGCGCAGCGACTACGCCTCTGTCTCACTGGGGCGCGCGCCTCAACCCCGCATCAGGAGTTGAGGGTTTGGCCAGTAACAAGTCGCGACAAGCGAATCACCCTGTTGTTGGCACACAGATGCCCCATCCAATCCTTAACTTGTCACAGTCGACTCCCTCATTTCCACGCAAGCTTAAGAAATCATCTACACTTATGCCATGTGCCTCAGCAAGCGCCCAACACGTATCGCCTTTGGAGATGTATGCTTGACGATTTCCCTTTCCACAAGCAGAGACGTATGTATCCTCGCTCTTGTCCACGAGCTTGAATACAAGGAACAAGAAAACAAGAACCAGCAGTGCAAATGGCAACATCATACGCACAGCGCTCCTGTTGTCCTTTTCTATTGCTTCGTGTTGCTCTAGTCGTTCTTCGTCAGATATGGGCTGTGAGCGCTCGCCGGTGGCTCGCAGCTCCCCGTAGCGGTTGCCAGGCTCAGATTCGTAGACACGACCGGATGCATCGCGGAAGGTGTAGGTCTGGGTATCAGCGTCATAGCCTATGCGCTCGAAACCGTCTGGCAGTCGCTCAGCGTCCTAGAAGTCGTGTCAGTGTCCTGCTAGAAAGAGGGTGCTACCTAGGTATATGGGGACACTTACACTGTCCATATCTGTCCAGCGACCCATGATGAAGAGCTGTGGGCTAGCTAAGGTTAGTTGGGAGGGTGAGTGAGACAGTCGAATGAAAGGTAATAAAGAGTTGTCGCGTTTCTTTGGAGGGTTACGAATATGCGATCGCGCTGCTTTTGAATGCAAGAGTCGCTCCTGTAGCTTAGAGAGGGCGAATATCTCGACCGCCAGTTGTATGGGGGAACAAGGTTTCGAGACTACGTGGTGGCGCGTTGTGGTGCAGCAGAGACGTGATGACGGGAGGTGGGGGCGTCTAAGCCACAGCCCCTGCGCGTATCCGGGTGGCCTAATTTTTCACGGTCACGAACGGCTGCATGCTTCTGTCTTATGAACTAACACCGTCATTACGCTTACTACTTGCTATCATGAATACATTCTTCACATCTTCTAATCGCACAAATAACGTCTTCTCCGGTTTCGACGGCCAACACTTGTCACCTCCCTCACTTTGACTCAGGGTGACCAGCTATGGCTGGTGATTTGCCACTTCCGCTTTGCGAATATTGTGGTAGTCCATATCCTCAAGACTCTGGATTGTGTCTATTGACAGTGGCGCGTCATCTTGTGTGTGGCCATGTCTATTACCACCTGATATAAACGATCTGATGGTCTTCAATGTTCCTCCGTGAAGTTTCTGAGTAGCAATCCTTGGGGCGCTTGGATCCTTGTGCTGGTCATGGAGCGCGTCGCCTCGCTGGGTACTCGACTTGCTACTTCGTGAGGATCTGGACAGCCTCATGATAGCCAGGAAACGACGTCCGAATTGCTGAAGTACGCTATCCTTCTTCCGTCGATCGTCGTCAACAAGGTTCGTGATGAAGACTCCGCGGATAACAATGACGGACGCCATGATGAGTCCAACACAAGATTCGACGATGAACCAGTACGCAGCCCACACCGGCGCCGTTCCGTTCCCTGCCTCGGTTGTCTCAGTCAATGAGCCGACGACTCGGATCAACGCGCAAATGATCATTACTGTCGAGAGGCCTAGCAATGCCACAATCGATAGTTTTCGGGAGAACGACATCATCGATTCGTTTACAACGACGACGGGAAAGCTCACAACTAGGAAAATCAGTATTTCCATTCTCATCTTGAGCCATTAGGCCGCATCACGTACTGAGAACATCGCCTATGATATCGAGGACGCCGACGAGAACGTTACCCGCGACACTTCTTTCATGCTGCCGGGGATTGAAGCCACATGTAGCTGTAAACTGTCAGTAACTTGAACCTCGATAAAGAATCGAATACCAACTGACCTGCGTCTGTACCAAAGTGTGGACAGATAACCACAAAGTTGATGACTGCATAGATCCAGCAAAGGACAAGAAAGCCTACGGTTATCCAGTAGAACCGCATGATCTTGACTGATAGCCCTCGGGTCAAGGTGTGAAAGAAATTCATAAAAGCAAACTTGACTAGGTAAAGGGAAGTCCAGTTGAACGTGGAGAAGATGAAGGCCCACTTAGGCGTGTCCAATATTGCAGGAATATCCTCTCGGAAAGGAATGGTCTTCCTTTGGTTCATGGCTTCGATAAGATAGAAAGTGTTCAGAAGCTTGTGGACGCAGACGAACGCGACTATCAGACACAAACATGACACCAAGACAAAGCCATCGTCCCATCGTATTTTCCGACCGCCAAAGATGCGAATCGCGAAGCGTGCTAACACGGAAAGAATAGCAAGCCCGAAAAGAATACCCGTCGTGATCTAAGATTTGTGTCAGCATCTACAATGAATCGCCAACAGGGAGAGTGCATACCACAAATGGCACCTTATCAATCCTACCAGCATGGTCAATGATGTACTGTCTACCGGGCACATATTGTGCTGGTGGTAGCTTCGACGGATCAATCGACATGTCTTGGGTATAGCTTTCGTAGCGCAGAATCTGGGTAAGGAGGAGACTGTACGTTAGAGCTACAGAATTCCAAGTGGGAAGAGGACGACATGACAAGCATATAACAAGATCTAGTATCGCATGCGATTGTGTGAAGGGTGGGGGCTATTGAAGTATATATATACTCCGCATGCTGCATCTACTATTGATCGATCTTTTGGCATCGTCAACTGGGATCATGACCGGTCGCAGCGTGTCGTACAAATAATGCCTTGTTGGGGTCGGGGATCGAAGAGCGAATCCCAAAATCCCCGAGAACACCGACATATTGGTAAGATTCGATTGACGGACATGAAGGAAACGATAGCGAATGTCGGGTTGTAATATCGTAGTACAGGAAGGCAGTGCTGATCCTAGCGCTGACGCCCATGCACCCAGGTGAGGCTAGCGCCTTCCGTGCCGCCCTCCCATCTTGCCGCCTCGTCCTGCACCTTTACTCGCACTTCGACAACAACTACCGTGAGATCGGATCACGATACTTGCGCCTCTGTGACGACGTCTGCAAGTTGCAACACCCAATCCGCGGGTCAGCATGACGCGGGTCAGCATGCCAGCCATCATGGCTGTGGTCGCTGGTGCTCTCGCCATGTTTGTGGCCAGATTGATGGCTAATCGACAGCACGTAAAGAGTTTACGAAACTCAGGAGCAGTAAGTCAAGTACTAGGTGCACCTAGAGAAATGGTTCTAACAATAGCAAGCCAATGCCGAAACATCATCCTCTGTTCGGCCATCTCATCGTGTTGAAAGAAGCCATTCAATCACTACCACAGAACACCGTAATGCACGTAGTAGTACGGCGAATAGCACAATCGTTTCCCGGCGGTGTCTTCTATCTCAACTTATGGCCTTTCAACGCTCCTATCATGGTAGTCGCGAACCCTTATGTTGCATCACAAATTGAAGCTGCTTTCCTCGACAAGCCCGCCAATATAAGTGCTACTTTAGAGGTCATCAACGGTGGACCATCGCTACTGACCATGTACGGAAGCACTTGGAAGAAATGGCGGGCGCTGTTCAATCCAGGATTCGCTGCTGGCTATATAACAGGACTTTCTCCTGCTATAGCAGAGGAGGTCACGGTTTTCTGTCAACTTCTTCAAGAACGCGCCCAGAAGGGCGAAGTCTTTCCTTTGGAGGAGCATACGCTTCGGTTGACTTTTGATATTATTGCGCGTATTACCTTGTAAGTTCTCAACACGATGCGCCTACAGTAAAGGTTGATTACTAAAAGGTGGGCCCAGGGGTGCGCGTCTCCACTATCAAACTCAAGGAAGCGCCCTCGCAGACTGTCTCCGAAGACAAGTGTATTGGACTCCATTCGGTACATCTTTCAATCCAATCCGTCGCTATCTTAGCCCTCGTCCATTCGTCCAAAAGTACAACAGTTACCGTATGAATCAATACCTTGACAAGGAAATTGACAAACGTTTCGAAGAGTTGGCTCGCTCCCGTAGAAGCCCTTCAAAAGATTCCCACTTACAATCTAGATCTATCATCGCGTTGGCCATGGACAAGTACCTGGACGATGTAGAGGGCAAAGACGAGGTGTCAAAATCGGCCTTCAGGCAGCTGGCGAAGCCTCAACTTCGTATGTTCCTGTACGCCGGCCACGACACCACTAGTAGTACCCTGCTGTACAGCTATTTGCTACTGTCTCGTCACCCGGATGTTTTGTCCAAAGTACGTGCAGAACACGACAAGGTATTCGGGTCCGACTTCTCGCTCCACAGTATCACTCGCATTATCACAGACGATCCCGCACTCCTGAACCAGTTACCCTACACTCTGGCAGTCGTCAAGGAGGTTCTGCGCATATTTCCTCCGGCTGGCAGCATGCGCGATGGCCGCCCGGGTGTCTTTTTGGTAGATGAACAGGGTCAGCGATACCCTACAGAGGGCTGTAACATATGGACACTCACTCTTGCTATGCACCACAACCCCGAAGTGTTTGTGAGACCGGAAGATTTCATTCCAGATCGCTGGCTCGTCAGTCCAGAGGACCCTTTACATCCGAAGAAGGCCTCATGGAGAGCTTTTGAGTGGGGCCCACGTGCCTGCATTGGGCAGACACTTGCACAACTGGAACTCAAAATCGCCTTGGTAATGACTGTGAGGATGTTTGATATTGACATTGCGTATGAGGAGTGGGACAAACTACATCCAAAGAAGGGCATCAGAACTGTTGACGAGAATCGAGCATATCAGGCTGAGATGGGTGGAGGCGGAGCTCACCCAGCAGATGGCCTCCCTGTCAAGGTCACTCTGCGTGCATAAGTAACAATTTCAGTCTATATGAATGAGTTCTCACTCGTAGTGTCTAGTGCCATGCTATTACTTTTTGATTGAATATTATGTGCCTCTCAGCTGCACCCTGGACGCGAGGAGTAGAGAAACCATTGTTCACACGTTCTTAAACTATACCATTAAGCTTAGATACTGGGGCCTTCCTGGTCCGTATCATCCAAGCCTCCTCCATTAACCTTGCCATCTTCGTTCCTCGCTTCATAGTCAGAGTCCAGAAGCCAGCATGCTTCTTAGAGTTCTTTGCTGGTATGACAACACCATAAGCTAGCAAAAGCATCACCATGTCAACATGTCCTCGTTTGACGGCATGCCATAACGCTGGCGCACAGACTGTGTCGTCATATTCACTCTTCTTGATTTGTGCACCACTCTCAATCAGAAGCCTAGCAGCCCCGAGCCAGCCATTCTGTACTGCTAATACAAGACCTTGTGATAGCCCTTGGGCCCCGATGCGACCCGCCTCGTAAGTATACGTAGCGTCTCCAAGAGTGGCGTCAGTCTCGAGGAAGTACTGTATAATGTGCACATGACCATGCTCGCATGCTAGATAGAAAGGCGTCAACCTCAATTGACGATCTGACTTGATCGCACGCTTGAAATTGTAGCAACGGCGCACTACGTCCAATTCACCTCTTATGATTGCCCACTTGCACCATTCGTATTTCGCATCGTAGATTGCTCTCCCAGAGTCGCAACTCTTGAGGTACCAGCACATGAATGTTGGAAGCATAGTGGCACGTTGCTTGTACATGCATGTATCGATAGTCTCGTATAACTGGTCCCATTGGTGACGACTGTCTTCAAACCGCTCATAAATAATTGACGAAGCGTACTTATGCCCGTTCACCGCAGCGGCAGTAAGTGGAGTGCCATATAGCTCGCTACGTTGGCCTATATCACGTACCTTGCCAACTAGAAAGCGCAAGGCAGGTTCGCTGTACGCTGGAGGTGGGCGTGTATGATTTCTGCGAATATTTCAACTGGGAGATGGAGCAAATCCATGATTGCATCTGAGAGCCAGAGAGCTCGTAGTGGTGCAGACCCTTACGGCTGAGATATGGCCCTTGGTTGCGCTGCCAAGGCATTTGCGTGTTCGTCACCCATGGATGAAATCTCGGTACTGTCGAATCGGGCTCGTGACCATCGCAGCTTCTCTACACTCTCGATGTTTCATGATGCACTTAGGGATCCACATCAAGACAAGCTTTACTCGAATGTCAACTCTTGCTTAGTACTGTCTTAATAGCGTCGTCCTCCACGTGACAATGCTATGCTTTTGTCGTGTGCCAGGTGGTATAAGAGTGCTAAGCATTCGGGGAAAAGGCAGAAGATGAACGGCCTCCTGCATTGGACGAGCTACTAGTCTCGGCATCATCCCTGTGAAGCAACGTATCGTGGACAGTCTAGATTGCGCGACTAGGAGTCTCGCTGTCAAAGTGGATGCCAGAAGGCGAAGCTGGGCGCGATTGTCGTTTAGGATCAGCGGCTTTCGTATTGATGATGATGACCGTGCGGGGGAAAGCCGACGCTGGCGGCTTCCTAGTCGTCGCCTCGCGCTTTCTGTTCCCAGCACCTGGCAGGGATGCTGTGACAACGCGTCGCAGCGCACCTTCCCTCCAACTTCCCAGGCAAACCGCACAGGATACCTGTTTGATGCACAGTGATGCCAGAATCCTTCAATCACCTTCTAGACTCGTCGCGCGCAAACAAGAATCATAACACGCCCAAACAAGCAAGACGTAGCGCGCCACTGAGGCTGTGCGCGCCGTCCACGTGTAGCCAATCTGGCCGGACGACCGACGTCATTCGTCAGTGTTCGGGGATCCACTCAGAGAGTAAGCACATACCAAGCCGGTTCAAGCTTGCCGAGCATTGATAAGGAAGGCGCGGCCACCGCCTCACTTACTTGGCCACACTTCTACCGTCCTCAAAGTACATCTTTGTACTCAACCACTACCCAAACTCTGCAACACCAAAACCGATGGGAGAACCCGACGACCCCTCTATACGCAGCTTCAAGTCTAAGGCAGCATCTGCACTTGGCTTGGGACGCAAGAAAGACACTCAGACCGACGTCCTTCCGACCCACAACCCCCACACGACCGCCCATCCTGGCCTAGGTGGCAGCAACCCGCCGCGTAGTGCGCCCAGCACCACCAACAGCGACCACAGCGGCCACCATGAGAAGCCCGTCGCGCCAGACGACAATTCCACAGATATCCAACATGGCAGTGTTAATACCGCGGCTGATGGAGAGACGCCTTCCGCCATAGGATCCGAGAAGCGTCCGTTCTATTCGCCTACCCGTGTCAAGAACGGAACCCTCCGATTCATCACCCACACCAAGAATGCCCTTACCCACAGCTGGATCAACGTCCTGCTCGTCTTCGTGCCTCTTGGTATCGTAGTCAAGCTTGTAGACTTGAAGCCCGAGATTGTCTTCTCTATGAATGCCATCGCCATCATTCCACTGGCTGGCCTGCTCGCGCACGCGACCGAAGTCGTCGCTGCCCGTGTTGGAGATGCGCTCGGTGCATTGCTCAATGTATCCTTCGGAAACGCTGTCGAGTTGATTCTCTTCATCATCTTGCTCGCCTCTGACCAAATCGAGGTTGTGCAGGCGTCGCTGCTTGGATCCATTCTTGCTAACCTGCTTCTCATCCTGGGTATGGCCTTCCTACTTGGTGGTCTCAAATACCAGGAGCAGGTTTACAACAACACTGTCACCCAGATGAGTGGTGTCATGCTGGCTCTTGCCGTAATGAGTCTTCTTTTGCCCACGGCATTCCACGCTGCTTTCGAAGACAACTCCATTGCTGACCACGAGACGCTATCCGTCAGTCGTGGTACCAGTGTTATTCTGTTGCTGGTCTACGGTCTATACCTTCTCTTCCAGCTCAAGAGTCATCGTTATCTTTATGCTAGCACACCCCAACACATCATTGACGAAGAATCGCACCCTGGTGTTCTTGCTGGCGCATTCGACTCGTCCAGCTCAGACTCTTCATCCAGCTCCAGTAGCAGCGATAGCGATAGTTCTTCAAACAACTCTGATGGTACCATGAAGAAGAAGGCCAAACGCATGGTCAAGAGACTTCGCCGCAAATCCAGCGCTAGCTCTAAAGACGATGGTGCGCTTTCGGCCATGAGCTCCCCCTCTGCCGAACTGAACCAAAGTCCCTTCGAGACGGAGAGGACTAGCAGCGTTGTCACCGCGAACAATACTGGTCCCATCACCTCTCGCCGGCATTCCTTCGACGTCATGAGTGGTGACGAAGCTGACAACGATCAATACGTCCCGGTGGTTCGCGACTTTGAAGCCGCCTCGCACACCTCACGATCCTTGACGAAGAAGGAAAAACGTAAGAACAAGAAGAGCAAGAAGGACCGTCGTGATCGTAACAAGATCGACACCATTCCTGAGAAGGAGGTCGAACCAAATGATCCCACGCCCAAGGTCACCTTCGCTGAAGAAGTACAACATGACAGTGCTGCTCCAATGAACGCACGCAAATACAACCGCCCAGCTCTCCCTTCGCTACTTTCCAACAATGTTTTCTCGAACCCTCAAAATCTTGCTCCACTTGGCGGACCTGCGCCCAACATCCGTATGGCAGCACCTCGAGACAACGCGGCTTTACGTGCACCTCTTCGTCGATCAAAGTCTCTTCCTGAACAAATCGGTCGCGCCGACTCCACTGGTAGCGCAGTCAAACATCCTGCCGTATCTCCCCAGGCCGCCATGGCACTCAACGAAGATGACGAAGACGAAGAAGCACCTGACATGTCTATCAAAGCGGCTATCTTCATGCTTTTGATCAGTACGGGTCTCGTTGCTGTTTGCGCCGACTTTATGAGTGACGCTATCGAGCCCATGGTCGAGACCTCTGGTATCAGCCAAGCATTCATTGGTCTCATTATCCTTCCTATTGTGGGCAACGCCGCAGAGCACGTCACAGCTGTTACCGTCGCCATGAAGAACAAGATGGATCTCTCTATCGGTATCGCTGTTGGTTCTTCTATTCAGATCGCCATCTTTATCACCCCTGTTATTGTCATCCTTGGCTGGATTATGGGAAAGGAGATGACACTTTACTTCAACATCTTCGAGACTGTCGCACTATTCGTTACCGTATTGGTAGTGAACTTTTTGGTGTTGGACGGTCGCAGTAACTACCTTGAGGGTAGTCTACTGATTGCTGCCTATATTATCATCGCGCTGGCCAGTTTCTTCTACCCTGATGGTTGCGACGCTAGTGCTATCGGTGGTAATGAGCAGCGCTGTAACAACGTTCAGGTTGCCCGATTAGCACAGGGCATGGTCAAGAGGATGATCGGCATGTAACGCAATGGCCATTCGTTGAGAACCTTGAAGCTCGAGTAATATCTGGCTGCCACAAGATTTTCGATACAAGCATGGCATTGTGACTAGTTGGTTGAGTGGCATGGTGGGATGTCCGCTCCCGCATCGAGACTTGTCATAACGTCTCATTTCCTTTCTATCATGATGCTAGCCAGTCGTTACAGATACCTAATAGCTTATTACCCCAGAGGTCCCTAAATTGATACATAATTCCGGCTCGTTACACGAAGCCCGCCTCAACAGTGGCCTGTTACGTACTCTTGTGTGATGCAAATGGCTTTTGGTCAGCTTTTGGTCGCATTGCTCAAATGAGTTGCAAGTACGCGACATACACGTTTTGCTGTTGGTGGAGTCGTCATCTTTGGGCGCCCTGCCAAGAGTAAGCGCCTGCCTAAATCCGTTCCGTCGTCGTCGTCCGACACGAGAGGAATTCTTTGCGAGCTCAGCCACAAGGCTTCGACGACTATGTTTCTTATTCTCTCATCATGTATACCATCGATCTTGCCGATGTAAGATCGATCAGGCGTTTGTCTCGATAGCTATACTGCGTTCCGTATCGCGACATACCGTATTTAGACGTTTGTGCCTGTGACATAAAAAAGCAGCGAGAGCAACTCTCCCCTATTCAGATACAAGAAAAGTATGGTCAGCCGCGGCGGCCGTTCGAAAGGATGCACCAACTGTCGCCGCCGGCGTGTGAAATGCGGTATGTGCCCATTCGCTTACCCCACGTTCACCGAGTCGAAACCAGGTGCATGTGCTGACAAGAAAGACGAGAACCGTCCCGTGTGCGGACAATGCACAAAGCGTGGTCTCGAATGTGAAGGGCCAAAAGACCTAACCTGGATCGATCAGAGTAGGACATTCGAAGCCAAACCAACAAACGCAGCCCAGAATGCTGTCGTCAAGATAGCTAGTCCGACTGAGCTATCTCTTAAAGCCTTTGAAGATGACATCTGCTTGGCGTACACTCGCAAGACCTTGCTGCGCGGAGGACCTGTCGAAATAGCCTGCAACATGGTTGAGAGCTACGGCGCATCTATAGAAAGCGACAACCCAGGTCTTGATCTGTTGCGCAAAGGGATATTAACCTTGTCTGTTACCTTTTTCGGAAGCCAACATCGACAGGACTACATCACAAAAAAAGGTTATTCCCAATACAGTGAGGTACTGCGGCAGCTGAATTCGCATCTTTCTCACCCGGAGCTGCAGTTGACAAACGAAACTCTATTGACAGCACTGTCTTGTATGCTTCTCGAGATCTTCTTGCCGACTGGACCGAAGAACTTTTTGAAGCACCAGCGAGGCCTCGATGCCATCGCGATGCTACGGGGCCCACCGAAAGAGTCCGATGGTACTACGGCAACAATTTTTCGCGGCTTGCGCATTCTCTCTATTGTTGGCTCGCTGGCGGAGTCTAGGACTTCTCTGTACTCCAGAGAAGAATGGAAGCAGGTTCCGCCTGTCCAGGCAAGCGAGGCAGGATACTTTCAGCATCACGTTTTCACCATTCTGGCCGATTGTACCCGTCTAATTGGCCGTCGCAATGCCCTGCTTGCTCCCAAAGCCATACCTGCCAGTTTCGAACCGTTACTTGTCGAGGTGGAAGCTGTATTGAGCGCGCTGGAGGCGCTGTATCCGCACTGGGAGGTTTTGAATCGAAATCAGCTAGCTGGAGTGACAGAGCAGTCAGATATGGCGAAGACACTGGGGGTGGCCAATCATGTCTCTGCAACGGCATATATGCTCTACAACACTGCATACATATGCGTGCTTCAAATCAAGGATTCGTTGTCTCCGTCGCCGATTAATGTTGCATGGCGAAACGCTGCGGCGACGAGCATCGCCAAATGCTTGGAATTGAAAGAATATGAACAGCGCGAGGGTGCACCGCAATCGAACACCATAGCCTACGTGGCTATAAGAGTGGCATGGCAAGCGTTGGGCGGTTTCGACTCTCCGGAAGGACGACGCTTAGCACATGTTGTCGATTCTGCGACAAATTCGGTCTTCCAGCAGCCATCTCTGCCATCGGATGAGTCGCTCTTTTCTAGATTTGTCGAAAGGATGCCGGTCGTGCTACCCAACTGCACGTCGTACCCCAATGAGCAGCATGATGCATGGTCTGAAGGGCCGCCAGGCATCATTGAATTCAGCATGCAACAGTTGGTCATACATCCCCGATTCTACGTAAAGACTTCTGACTCCCATAGGCATCTCGCATAGCTTTAGTTGCGTACAGCTACTGCATCAACCCTATACAAGATTAGCAATGGCTGAAAAGAAGCTGCCCATGAAGTGCGATGTCGTAGTGCATTGCAGTTATGCGCCACGCCTGATTTACTTCGGAGCACCCTTCTCAACCTGTGTTCTAATTTCGCGACATGTCACGCGGCTCCACATGGCGCGTTCCAAGCTTCCCCGGATTTTGACATTAGCCGGTGGCAATCTACCGGTAGGGAATGAAACACGGCGAATTTATCTGAACATGCTTCGGGTGAAGGGCACAGCTTCATCGATCTGAATTTGAATCATTGTGCCTTTGCACGACCTGTTGCGCGAAAGGCTGCGGACTCCCGTCTATGTGCGCTCACTTGCGGCCCAATTTTGCGCCCCAAAAACGGTGGCGAACCCACGAACACGCTGATATTGCGACCAAACACCTGAACACACATCTGCCGGACAGGGTCCTTTCGCCGCTTCCGATGACCCGGTTTAAGCATGTCGTCTACTATAAACGAGCCAAGAGCCCCTAAGCTTCACGGGAATGACCTCAGGACAGCGGGCGGAGCCTTGGCGTTTATACATAAAGATGGTAGGCCTTGAGAAACAATTCGAGCATTTCAGAAACACAGTCGTCGTTCTTCTATCATCATGGGTCTCAAGTCTCTCATTGTCGCGACAATCGCTGCGGTGGCCATCGCTGGGCCCATTCCAGATCCTCTCAATATGATGAAGCGGGCTGGACCTGCGGCGGGCCAAGTGATCACAAAGTGCGCAGCACCTGGTCAAATTGCTCTCGCCTACGATGACGGCCCATCTCAGTACACACAAAAGCTCGTCGACACCTTGACCGCTGGTGGAGCTAAGGGCACCTTCTTTGTTACTGGTTCGCTATATGGTACGCATAGCATTCCTCATGATACTCACCTAAGAGCACCTCCTAACAGGCGTAGGATGTATCTACAACCAGAAGAGCGCTCTCCAGAATGCCTACAAAGCTGGCCACCAGATCGCATCCCACACTTGGTCCCACCCGCAAAACTTCGGCTCCCTCTCAACCAACGACCTAACATCCCAGATGACGCGTCTTGAGCAAGCCCTCGTCAACATTATCGGTGTGAAGCCAACCTACATGCGCCCTCCTTACCTCGCCACTGGCGGAAACGTGCTCCCAACAATGAAGACGCTTGGATACCGCGTCATCACCGATGATGTCGACTCCGAGGACTGGAACGGCAAGACACCCCAGCAGAGCCAGCAGAAGTTCCAGCAAGCCGGTACCAGCGGTAATGGACATATCCCTCTCATGCACGAGACTTATGCTTCTACGGTCAACACCCTTACGCCTTGGTTGATCAGCTGGGCGAAGAACAACAATCTCAAGTTGGTTACTGTTGGTGAGTTCGATTATCAGTCTGTTATCATTGAGACATATTGCTAACTTGGTGTTTTAGCTGAGTGCCTGGGTGACGCTAGTGGCGCTTACAAGAGTGGTACACCGAACGGTGCCTCGACTTGCTAGTTGGATCCAGTCCAGATGAGTTGAAACTTCGCCGTTCACTTTGACCTCAGTATCTGTGGAAGAGCAGACAACGACTACCCTTGATCTATGTACATATTTTACTTTTAGAAAACCCTTTTAGCGAAGGCATTGATTATTCCTTCTGATGTTTCCACTTGCGTACGCTTGATGATCTCGTGCTAATGCGCTTCGCCCTTTGTCAGCTACTAATGTTGTAATTCTTAAATGAATTCTGCGGATCGTAGGTCAGTAAGAAGGGGTGAGTCGATGAGCTGGTATCTATTCTCAATATTAGTGTCGAGTTGTGAAATTGACGAAGCGACAAAAAAGCTGTTGAGTCACAAGCATTTAGAACAAGACAAAAAGGTCGGTAAGTGCGAGATAGTAAGCTCAAGACATTTAATGAGGATGGGGCAAGAAGTGTGAGCGGTGACAGACCGCCGGTACGCATCCGAAGCAGGAGGCGGAGAGGTTTCTCTGCTGGCCAATGCCCCCATTCATTCCCACGCATGAGATTCGAGACGAGCGAGACTACTCGAAGGTCCTTCGTAAGTATTGGTGTTTGTCTCCGAACTCTAGTCCCGTCGCTTTTCCAAGCTCTTGCCAATCTATGTGCAGCTTGCCAATCCATCGCTCGCAGCATCAATCGTGCAATCATTCGTGTTGCCTCTGCAAGGTGAAGTCTAGAAAAAGAGTAAGTATGATATGATTACTCCGGTCAGGAAAGAGAGTGTCATTGTCACATACTCCGGAACATGGCTGGTCAGGTCGTTGGTCGTTAGGAACGCAAACTCCAGCTGGACTATCGTCTCCGTAGCAGAGCTTCATTCAGTTAGCCATGAGATAGGTATCTAGAGCACGAAAGATGAGTTAACTTGCCCCTGATGACCCCTGCGCCGATGCAATACTCGAGATTATAGCCGCAATGATGAAAAGCTTCATTTTTTAAAATGATGGGTGATGATTTTATAAGTTTTGCGGAGTATTGGAGTATCCGAAGCTCTATTGTGGAAGGTGCTTATATACTCCACATGGTTGAGTATAGTACATCGTACTTGCTGACATCGATCGTCAAAAACTACAAGCAGTGCCAGCTAACTAGTCCGTTCTTGAGTGGAATACCGCTGGACCTGCTGTAAGTGACGGTGTGCTTCGGTCGTCCTCGGGTCAATCCAGCCTTGCCGTGACACGCGTAACTCATTCGGCCCAGCGTGATTATGATCGTTTTGACAACAGG